ACACACACACACACTCTCTCTCTCTCTCTCTCTCTCTTACTGCCACACACACACACCCCCTCTCTCTCTCTCTCTGTATGTCTCTCTCTGTCTCTGTCTCTCTCTGTCTCTCTGTCTCTCTCTGTCTTTCTCTTTCTCTTACTAGCTCTTTCCCTACTAACTCTATCATGAAAGGTTCACGTATCATTCCATACCTGATTAACATGTTAAATTTTGATGAAAGGGAAGAAATAGTCGTCCCACAGTATAAACTCTTCTGTTGCGTATGTAAGGGGCACAAACATGACAAAGCTATATTGTACTTGAAATCCAACCCCTTCACCCAATTCCAACCATGCCAAAGGACTCAAGTTACCCGTCACTAAAGGGCATCCATATACATCCCCTCCACTAGTTTCACTTCTCTTTCATTCATAATTTTCTTCACTCACGAAATAATAGTATTCATATCCTTCTGCTTTTGTTGTTTTCATCATATTCTTATTCAGTCCTCTTTCTTTCATCTCAGATTATCTATTTTGTGTTATTCATGTCTTTATTACAGGCGATGGTATTTGCAGGGCTACATTTTTTTTGGTATTATTGTGGGATCTAAGATGGGGTTACAATTGTCACACCCCCGTCAGTTCCCACATTTGAAATGGGATGCCACCCCCCCCCCGGCATTTAGAACACACTTTAATTTTTGTTTAAAGATAAAAGCTCTGCACTCTGTTTCATTCCGCTTGTGATATAATTAAATCACAATATCTCATATACTTCTTCCTCCGATAGGAAGCCTATGATCTGAAGACGCGGAAAAGAACTAATTATTGGAATCTTTTCTTGACCAAAAAATTTGGCAGCTTCTTTTATGTTGTCTTTGAAATCAGGTCTTCGGGTAAAGGTGAACTGATATGATGTCGTCATTTATCATGTCCATATACCCCAGGGGGTCATATTATGACGCAATTTAGTAACATATACGATTTCCAAGCCAAATGTCGAGTTGCTGTTTTGTATCAGTTGTGACTAACGACATCTGTATTTTAAAATGGCGACTATTACTCTATACTTTGTTGTATATACTGAGAAAGAAAAACAATCAATGTCATCTTTATAAAGGGTTTTGTATCGTACGAATGTGCTTTAGAATATTATATCATTACCATACCCCTTAATATCCTATCAAGAAAAACAATAGTAACAACAAAAACAACAACAATAACAACAACAATAACAACAACATAATAATAACAAAAACACAAACAAAATAAAATCATACATGTACACACACGCGCTCGCTCACAATCTCGAACATGATTACCAACAATATATGAATCCAAAGTCTTTTTTCCCCCTTCAATTGGCATAAATAATGTATTTGTCATCGAGGTTCAAAATATAGCTGCTATAGCATCTAAACATTTAAAAATTCAGCATTCCTGATCGTCTGGCAGAGAATAATTATTTGATGCACATGGGTTCCTTGAATTCTATACGATTTTCACCCATCCTCTATCCAGAAAGAGGAGAGGAATCTTTCCTCAAGTAGATTTAGAATTAGTCATCGTCTATTTCTGTCTTGGGCAGTGAGACGGGAGGGGGCGAAGCGTGGTACATAAACCACGATTTTTCCAACACAGACAAAAGTGCCCCTTTTGTGACACGAGTAACGTCGTTCATTTGGAGAAAAAAAAACACCTTTTCTTCATCTTCTTACTATCCTTACCTCTGAATGAAAATGACAGATACTCTCTTGTCGATAAAACAGTATTGCCGATTTATTTCATGGAAACAGAATTTTGTTTAGAAGCATTGCAATCAAATCAAATTAATTTGGGGACTTTTCGTTCAAGTCATTTCCATTTTATTTCAATTTCTCTCACCATAGGTGTAATATTTGAAGAAAACAAATGATGCTGACGGTAATCATAACAAACGCAAGTGCAATGAAACGTTTTAGTTTTATACCCTCCAAAATGTTAAATGAAACAGGAAAGAAAGCCATCGAGCGATTAACTTAATGGAAAAATGTCCAAATTGTATACTCGCTCGCTTTGTTTTCGGACAAACATCAATAATTATGAGACGATGTTTCAGGTCTTGTACAAGGACAATGTGATTCTTGAAAAAGCATTTGAATCATGTTGAAGAAGAAAAGTGAAATACATGAGTAACATGCATTGCAGACGACACAATGGTCACAGGGCTATAGATCATTTAAAATATATCGATGTATAATAAGGTAACCCAGCGCAATCACTAGGTCGCGGAGTTTGGTAAGAAATTCTTGTGATTTTTCTCGAATAGAAACTTGTGAGATTCTGCACGATAATGTGGAATGGTCCAGTTTGGGCCTTGAGCAGACTGCGTGGAACGCACAACCCATCCTTTTCCCCTCAGAATTGCAATTTCCGATATCCCATGAAAATTGGCCAATATCCGCATCCTAAAATAGAAGTAATTGCCCGAGAAATTACCTATGTTCATCTTGAGACAACGCTTTTTCATATTTAAAAAAAATATATGTGTAGGAGTGTTTAGCGATGTCTTAACATTTCAATAAAGGTGGCTACAACAATGAGGATTGATGTGACGAAGAAGCTACTGAGATGAAACAAGAAAATTGGAAGAAAAATGAGGAAATTCGAGAGAGTAAAAAGGAAGAAAGCAGGAAAAGGAGAATGTACATTAAATACAACAACAAGACATATGAACAAAGGAATTAGGGAAATATAGTTTGAAATAAAATATTGATACAGACAAAAGATGAATAGATGAAAATCAGGAACAGGAAAATGAGAGCATCAAGAATAGGGCTTAACAAAAATTAAGAAAAATCTAAAGAAACAAGTGTTAGAAGTAAAAAGAGTTGCTACAAAATGTTGATCGCGCACACTTCAAGAGGCAACAACTTTCTAACACATTTTCAAACCAAGCCACAAAAGTGAGAAAAGTGAGATGTATCTGAGCATATACTCGCGAAGTATAACACACTCAATCAATTTCCAGCCACCTAATTGATTAACGGGCAGAGGAAGTAACGCTTCTCCGCTTGGCTTCAGTAAATGGTCTTCGGATATTTGATCATTTCCGTAAAGTGTCATGCAAAAAAGTGACATATTTTATGAAGGTATCAATGAACCCCGCCAAAAATCGGGGGTGCTTTATGGTACCTCTTTATTTCATTTTGACCCAGCGAATCTATCACCAGAAAATGATGGCATATATTGAGGGATGGGGGGGGGGGGGGTTATGCGCCCCTTTCCATATTTTCCAGCGGTGACCAACCCTCCCCCCTAATCATCGCTCATGGTTGAGTTGGTGCCAGCAAAATATGTCATAACATGATCTTCCTGTATAATTGCAAGTATTAATGGTTTCATCAATCGCATCAATCAATCAAGTCACTTTAGTTTGGCATCGATAATTACTTTTTTTCTTCTAGGAATTCTTAGAGAAAGAGACAAGATAGCACAAACCATTTGAAATAATTTATACATACACTTGATTACAGTAATTTGAAGCAGTATATTAGTAGTAGTAAAGAAGAATTAGAAGAAGAAGAAAAAAAGTAGTAGTAAAGAAGAATTAGTAGAAGAGGGAAAAGAAGAAGAGGAAGATAGGGAAGAAGACGACGAAGAAGAAGAAACAGAAGAAGAGGAAGAAGATGAAGAAGAAGAAGAAGAAGAAGAAGAAGAGGAAGAAGATGAAGAAACAAAAGAAGAAGAAGAAGAAGAAAAGGAAGAACAAGAAGAACAAGAAGAACAAGAACAAGAACAAGAAAAAGAAAAGGAAGAAGAACAAGAAGAAGAAAAAAAGAAGAAAAATGAAGAAGAAAAAGAAGAAGAAAAGAAAATAAGTCATCGTAGTGGTTAAAATACAAGGAGGCGGAGGGAATGAGAAGGTAAATTTAAAGTGTAGTAGGGATCATAAAGGCTAAATCTCTCTAGATCCTAACTTAACGTGACTTGCTGTATCAAAGTTGACCTACCATTGACATCGCACACTGATCAGATAGGTGACTAAGTGTTGTTAAATACTAACAAGACTCACAGGAAATTGGATTTATTTGGATGGCAAATAAAATAGACAATATAAAGTCTGTAATGCGACCCCTTGTCGTGCAGAATAAGAAGAGTGCACAGAACTGATTAAAAGCACAGAGAAAGAGAGAGAAAGAGAGAGAGGGGGAGAGAGAGAGAGAGAGAGAGAGAAAGAGGGAGAGAGAGAGAGAGAGAGAGATAGGGGGAGAGAGGGGGAGGGCGTAGGGGGTAGGGGTGATGTGACATACGTTGTGGCGCAAGTATAGGGAGCTAGACAGATGCGACAGGGGAGAGAGACAGAGACACAATCCAGACAACTAACGAAATGAAAATTATCACCATCTTCCAAATCTTCTAAATAATAAATATTTACAACTGTCTTCTAGGATAATCCTCCATTATTCCGGGAAAACGCGCCTTAGACCCCCCCCCCCCCCCCCCCCCCCCCCTCTTCCTATTTTGTGGTAGATATCAATAATGCGATTTTGGGCCGTGAGTAGTTAGTAGTTCCAAGAAGAAGTTGTCCTGAATTAATATTGTAGTCAAGGGATTATCTGTCATAGAATTTTTTTTTTTTTTTATCCTTACAGAAAACAGCTTATCAATTCATAAATATCAACCAAGTACTCCGGTTCATTTAGTTCACTTTAAAACATTTTCTATTCCACCGTGACTTTAAGAAGGAAATTAGAAATGAGATGGGAAGTGGGAACACGTATAATTTCACTGTTAACTTATTTAACACAATTCAATTCAACTTGATGGCATCAGGCTCATCAAATTTGAATTATTTTACCTATACCTGAATGATTTGATGTTTGCTGTATCATTTACGTGTAAGCATGCCGGACCTGTTGAAGAACAAGCCTTTGACAGAACCGTGTGGAAAATAAATACATGTATTAACAAAAACTTGTCTAACCAATATATTTTGTTTCTCGTTCATTTTCCCGCTCCTTCCTCTTCCCCTAGTGGCGTTTACCAGTCTGGCTCTTCCTCAGCTACCGGATCATCTCCACTTGTTACGTCATCTCCTATTTCATCTACGATATGGTGAGTGGGATCTCCAAGGACGGCAGTCGACATTTCATCTACCTCTCTACCTGGGAGAACTTCGCCTTTGACTGCTACTTCGCCGTCGCCACCGCCAACCTGGTAAGTTGATTTGATAATGACGACGACGATGATGATCATGGTGGTGGTGGTGATGGGTATGGTGATGTTGATGATGATGATGGTGATGATGATGGTGATGATGTGATGATGATGATGATGATGATGATGATGATTATGGTGATGACTATGATAATGATGATGATGATGATGATGATGATTATAATTCTGAGGCTCATAATGATGTTGATGATGGTGATGATGATAATAATTCTGAGGCTCATAATGATGATGATGTTGATGATGTTGATGATGGTGATGATGATAATAATTCTGAGGCTCAAAATGATGATGAAGATTGAGAAGGTGATGACGATGATTATGATGATGATGAGGATATGAGGATTTATAATAATGATATGTAATAATTGATAATAAGTATGGGGGCTCTTTGTTAATTTAAATAATATTATAATTAAATGTATTGTGCCTATTTGCTGTTGGTAAATAATTAAAATCAATCAATAAATCAATCAATCAATTGACTAAATCTGCTTGCAGATCGTAAGTCTCCGCAAGGATCACCTGGAGCGGTTGAAGCAGGAGCAGGAGCGCAAGAAACAGGGACTCTTCCAGAGGTTCATCAAGAGATTCAAGAAGAAACCCAAGGAGGTCATCGTGGAGAAGAAAGACGAGGAAGATGGTAAGATGAGATGATGACGGTGGTTGACAGGGGGCGTCTCTAAAGGGGGAGAGGTGACACCCCCTTTAAAAATAGATTTGTCCATCAATTAATCATCTATAGAGCCTTGTCGGCACATGGCAACAAATTTACGACTTAGGCTTTTGAAAACTACCGGGCAAATATTGAAAATGTAACAAGTTCCGATTCTTATTCGCGAATTCTTATCTTTTGTTCTTCCTGATGGATTTTCTAAACTTTATTTCATTACCATTTTTTTTAATCAGTTTCATTTTTTCTTGTTATGGGGGGGGGGGGCTATAATGTTGGTCCGACAACACAACCCCATTAAAATGGTTTTTTGACACCCCTTAGTGGAGTATAGGTACCAACTAAATGGTCTGATTTAACGACCTGTCAAGTACGATGATCATAGTCTGAATGGCTCAGGTTTGGACACCGTAGTCAATCACTTTAACCATTTTCAAGGACAATTCAATTGCACTTTTCAATTCAATTAACTTACTTCTAAACTACCTAATGATTTAAACTTTTGTTATGTTTGATCGACCATGCATCCGTTGGACAGGTCCAATAATTGACGTTGGGATTAGTTGAGATGAGGGTGCCGCTAAATTAACATTTAAGCGGGGCCTTTGTCGGACCATATTAGAGGGCTGATCTATAGGTCCAGTATAGATACTATCAGATTTTAGGACTAGGACTTTGGGTTTTCTGGACAAAGTTCACTCAATCCTAAAGCATTCGGGATCGTCAAAAATCTGCAATCTGAAATCATGAAAATAACAATTTTCCTAGTAAGCTGCCTTGAGGAAAACGTAGGTATTTGCATTTTTGTATATTTTTTTTTACAGAAACGCCACTGAGTTACAAGATCCAATGGTTCCTCTTCAACACCACCGTTCCCATGTCTATCCTGGTCACCATCATCTACTGGACGACACTCTACATGACACCGAATGACCCCGAGCTCGTCAACAAGGTCAAAGTTCACGCCATCACCATGCTTCTCAGCTTCACCGAGCTCTTCATCACCGCCACGCCCGTGCGCTTTTGGCATTTCATCTACCCGATCGGCTTCGATCTTCTCTTCGACTTCTTCACCGTGATCTACTGGGCGTGCGGCGGCACCAACTCCGAGGGCAAGCCGTACATCTGGCCGTTCCTCGACTACGGCAACGAGCCGGGCACCGCCGGCGGCGTGTCGCTGGGGATGATTCTCTCGCTGTTGGTGCTTCAGGGCATCATGTACGGGTTCTACAGACTTCGATGTTGGATGGCCAGCAAGTGCGGTATGAACCCCGACCTTGCCGGGAACGAGAAGGACGGCCTTGTGGAAGGGCTCGTGGAGTCTCCCTGTTGAACAACCGAGAAACATAACTCAGAAAGGGTTCAAATCCTTTCTTTTCACAATTCATATTGCTGAGATTTGAATTTTACGAGAAGTATAACTCTAAGAAGACAGTTTCCTCTTTTTTCCACACAATTGCTGGGGTGTTGTACGAGACGTAGATCAACAAAATGAGAAAATCCTCTCCGAGTTTTCAAACTTACTGATGAGTTTTAAGGTTACAACGGCGCGTTTTATCTCTAACTTTTCTTTTGTTGAAGAAAATGGTTCTAGATTGCGATCTGGACTGGGAAAATTGTGGAATGCGTTTCACAATCATGAAAGGAACTTGTGTGTTGATATCAGTTTGAATGTATATAATAATGCTGCTAATAACCTTTGACAAGGCACAAATGTCATTATCGTACGTGCATGATAGGACTAGGAAGAGACTTGTATGTCAAAGTGAATGGTCAGAATATCATTCCAGGCTGCCTCGTATCTCTACGATGCAATGAGAAATTCATTGAGTGTAATTATGCTACAAGCAAATCGTTAGGGGCCTACTTGTTTTGTGCCGATCGTTAGCCTTGTTTTGTGCCGATATTCACATTTGGATGAAATGTGTACATCGTACATTGATTAGTATTCATGAGGATTTTTGCATTCTTTACATAAACCTTCACCTTTCTCATAAATAAGAGAAAATGACATGATATTGTGAATATACCTTGCTTGTGATGATATACATTTTATACCAAACATATCAAAGATTTGAAATATATAATAGCTTTTGAGTATGATGCATGACTATTTGCACGATACCGAAAAATGTAAAATATATATATATATTTTATTATTTTATTCTTGAATTATCTTATAATAGGATAAATACTTTTTTAAGCAAAAGAGAAGGAAAACGATTTTAGTATGTACTCATATTCCCAGCATTAAATGCAATGTACATTTTCTGAAGGTGGCGCTATTCTAGATAAAGAACATATTGCACGTTGACGGTTTGCTCGATTAAAAAAAGGGGAAAATAAAATAATAATTTTGAATTAATGATTTTGGAAATTAGTGTCGGTGTGTCTCCTTCTTTTTCCGCTACAACCCTCACCCGCCACAATCATCATCATCATTATCGATCATCATCGTCTCCTTCAGCGTTATCGCTTTTAAAGGCACACTGTCCTACTTGTAGATACTTGCTCCCTCTATAGTGAAAACTTCCCAAATCGGTGCCTGTTGGTCCCCCATGATCCTCTTTTTCTTATGTTAAATGAGAGCTGAGTTAATGAGATAGCCACCTGTTACAAGTGACCTAGATGGCTCGCTGTGTGGTCTAATCCCTTCTGGTTGAAGTAGTAAAGCCTACCTTTAAAGCTTATCTGCCATAGTTTACAGGAGGGATTAGACCGCCCTGCAAGGTCGCTGGACAGGTGGTTACCTCATCAACTCAGCTCTCAGTTAACATAAGAAAAAGAGCATCATGGGGGACCAATGGTCACCGATTAGGCATTGTTTGTTATATAGAGGGCGCAAGTAGCTACAAGTAGTGCAGTGGGCCTTTAAGGTTACCATTAATTATCCCATCATTATTTTCATCGTTTTCGTCGTCATCATCATGATCATCATTCATCATCAGCCTCAGCCTCTCTTCCCCTTCGTTTTTCTTCTTCTTGTTAATGTTGTTCTTCTACTACTTTTATCCTTCTTCCTTCTTCTTCCATTTCATTATCACCAAGATCCACATCACCATAACCACCACTAACACTATCATACTCATTGCATACTCTTGAATTTTAAACCTTTCCACATAACTTTATATTTAATTTACATAAGTTTTCGGCATAATTATGTTACAGTCGGTAGAGCAGTGGTCTTGTCATCTGGTGACCCGGGTTTGAAACCAAGTCGATGTGCTAGTTCCCTTTGGTAAGGCATTACTCCTCAGTTCTTCGGAGAGGAACTAAAGCCGTCGGTCTTCTGGTTGCTTACTAACAAGGATGTATTGCTTTCTTAGCTGTCGGGTAAAATAACCACCACTATCACAACCTACTCCCCCGTAGAAATTATGCAAGCATTTATTTTAATTATTTTATAAAAAATGTACCTAGATAATAGTATTGCTGGTTAATACTCATTTGTTGCTTTGTGTATGTTTGTGTGTAATTATGTAATGTATCTAGTATTCTAGTATGTATACAGGTATACACTATGTTGCTTAGCGTATGCAATAAAATATTTTCTGAGAAAAAATATATTCTCGTCTTTCTTTTTTGTCAATCTCTTTGCTTCAGTCATAATTTGTTCACTCTTTCATCATCTAAGTACTAGAGGGGAAACAAAAAGAATATGAAAAAACATTCGTGTTCATGACGATTATGTTGCCCTTACACAAATCATGGAAGAAAACTAAAATTGGTATAGTAGTATTGTCAAGCACATACGATATCATACACCAAAAGAACGCTTACACAACAAAGCTTGCATTACTTTACAACAAAGTATTCTTCTTTTTTAAATTTCTGTTCAGTTTATTGCATACAAACGAAAATAGAGCTTTATTCTGCATATTTCATGATTAAAACCTGACATGACAGGAAACGATAGCTATCTATTTCATATGTGAACACTCCCATATGAAACTACTAATACATTTACATAAGCTGTTCGTGTTGACATAAGTCTGCTTCTGTTTAATGGCCTATATACATATATATATATATATATATATATATATATATATATATATATATATATATATATATATATATATCAGTTATAAACATTGAACATGTTTCGCGATTACTTTGTATTCAATGATTTGAAGAATTATAACCGATGTCAAATAGATTAGTGATTACTAAAAGTCAAAATAATATTAGAAAGATGACTACTTTACGCTTTTGTTTAGATAATGGGCTTTTCTATGGACACCATTATAAAGATTGTTTTTTATAAACTAGTGGAAATAATTTCAGTTTCGAGTAATGTATATTTCCTGGAAATCGATTTGATCCCAAGAAAATTCTGCTAAAAAAACAGCAGACATTTCAATGAGACCTTACAAGCATTACCAACCCTGGAAAATGTAGCATAGTACAAAGAATTGTTTCTTGAAATTAAAAATCACAGAAAGACATTGAAATCTTCCAAAATAAAAAGAATCACTTATAAGGCATGACAAATAATCAACAAAAAATCTTACAGATAAACAAGTATTATATATTACAGGTTTCAAACCAAGTTCTACAGTACTGCAGTATGGCAAATATAAACATGTTCATCCATAGATAACTTTACAATGCACTATTCCACTTTCACAGAGATCATTCATTAACATTAGTTCTTTTTAACTATGTTTTAAAAGAGAAATTGTCGTATGCAATTATTTCATTTGTCATGGTTTTTGTTTGTAGATCCTAATGTTATAGTAAGGTATCATTATCTAAGTTTTAATATATTACTTTGTAGTTATTTAAAATAAAATTGATTATGTATATCATGAAGGAATCAGATTTTCTATAGACCTTTATCTTGTATATGGAAACATTGTTTCCATATAAGACAGGTACTCGTTCTTAATGATTTGGAGATTAAAGTTGCCTTCAGAATATTTGTTTTGCTTCAAAAGGTAGTCATTAATGGTAAATTTTGTTCAATATCGAGACATGACGTTGGTACGAGATCTTCTAAAAGTAATGATACGTGTTATAAAGAACTACCACCCATAGCTTTAAGAACTATGGAGATAAAAAGTTTCAGGAAGAATTATCAAAAGCAAGATGGGATCTTGTTTTCAAACAAAACGACGTAAATAAAGCAAATGAAATGTTCTGCAAGTTATTCCAAGAAGTATGTGATAAACGTGCACCAATCGTAACACAAAGGCAAACAAGAAATAAAAACACTGCCAAAAAACATGGATAACTAAAGGTAAACTGAAATCAATACACAAAGGCCAACAAGAAATAAAAACCTTGCCCAAAAACCATGGATAACTAAAGGTAAACTGAAATCAATACGCGAAAAACAAAAATTGTAAATTTATAAAATATCAAATTTTAATTCACTATCTGGAGATAGATATAAAAAATACACGAATTTTCTCATTTAGTTACAAAAACGCAACTAAACAGGCATGACACCAGAAAGACGTAGCAGACTGTAGATTATTTATTGTGTGGTAAAAAAAAGTGTCAGGAAAAAGTACTGACATTGAAAAATAGATTGTTCATAAAAATGGAGCGAGTAGGGTGATAACAGACGATAATGAGATTGCTTCTGAATTAAATAAATAAAAATATATCCGGATAACAAGTGAAATACCACGCCAAAATAATCGTTTGCAGAGTTTGCACTCCCTACTCATGATCAAGCAGGTAATACCATACCTTCCAGTTCATTCACCAATGCTTCTGAAAACAAACATGTACCAAAGAAACAGGACATGGTAATATAAAATCTCTTTGATTTTGTTATTCCTTTCCTTTTCGAGTTTCAAGATATTGAGGTATCCCAATTTTGTACAACAGGGATTGAGCATCCCTGTCGTACAAAACACGAGCAGGTTTGTCAGGACTGTGCCAATTTAGAACCGATAGGACTCTGTAACCTGGCACGATACTATTTTATCTTTAAACAAAAAATATAATACTTATCTTTAAACAGAAAACAAAAAGAAATATTTTTGAAAGAAAAAAATAATACAAAAAAACGAGGGAATTCAGCTGCATTACTACATATGACTACAAAAATGAAACATTGTTGGTGATAATAGTCAAAATTGACTAAAACACCACCACCAACAACAACAATGGGCAACATGTCTATGCAGAAATGCCATGGGTAACAATCAACTGCTCTGATGACAATCTTTTCTTTCATTTGTATATGACATACTTTTTAAATCAATGTTTATCTTATTCGTGTTTAATGTTACTATCTTGTGTTGTATTGTTATATTTTATGTATGATAATCATGATTGCTACATTATGTTTTTACTTGTTCTTATAATAAAATCAAACTCAAACTCAATATAACTAAAAAAAAAGATATCTGAATAACAAGTGAATTATCACACCAAGTGATCGTTTGCAGAGCGTGTACTCCCTACTCAATAAGGTAATACCATACCTTTAACATTCCAATTCATTCACCAAGGCTTCTGAAAACCAACATAGAAACAGAACATGGTAAAGGGCAACATGTCTAAGCAGAAATGCCATTGGTAAAAAGCAACTGCTCTGAATTTCTGAGAACATAATCTTTTCTTTCATTTGTATAAAGTTGTACATGTAAGTCAATGTTTAATTTATATACAGTCAAACCTGTCTATAGCAACCGCCCAAGGGAAACACAAAGAGTGGCCTTTGTGGACAGGTGGTCTTTGTAGACAGGTTCCTTTAGTACATGATTCAATGAGAAACCATTTTCAAGGGAAACAACAAATGTGGCCTTTGTAGACAGGTGGTCTTTGTAGACAGGTGGTCACTAAAGCAGGTTTGACTGTATGTGTAATGTTATTCATCTTGTGTTATAATGTTATATTTTATGTAATCATGATTGATACGTTGTGTTTTACTTGTTCTTATTGTTGTTGATGTTGTTTTAAAAAAAACTCAAACTCAAACTCAAACTCAAACTCAATATAACTAAACACAGATATCTGGATAACAAGTGAATTACCACACCAAGTGATCATTTGGCCTATCAGACGGATTACTCAATGGACCTCAATTTCCAAACAGCACAGGTAAACAGATATTAATTCTTGCTACACCAGAAAACATAGCAAACTATTTATTAAAAAGTAAAGTCAGTTTTTACTATAGAGATAGTAAGTGCTATGTGTTCTATACATTTGCCACAATTTACAGAGGTGTCAATTTTTTCAGGCCCCATGGATGTTTTAATAATTTACTAATTTAACTTTGTTAATCCTAGATATTTTCTGGACACCACTATAGTATAGTCACACAGAAATGTGGCCCATCAGACGAATTACTCAATTGACCTCCAATTCCAAACGCAACAGGTAAACAGATATTAATTCTTGCTACACCTGAAGACATAGAAAGAAGTTCGGCAAGCAAATTATATTATTTTGCGTCATCCCATTATGACAACTGTAATTTTGCATCCGCCCATTGAAGGTGATTCCGTAGAAAATATGTTTTTGGAGTTGTATGTCCATCCGTCCTGCTTTTTTGCTATTGCGATATCTCAAAAACCACCTGAAATATGCACTTCAAACTTGGTGATGGTATGTATCACCATAGAAAGATAATCTTGATATATACACTATACGTGGGGCTATACAAACATGCGGTATGAAAGTTGTGGTCCACAACCTTAAGTAGTTACTTCTCATATTTTGATTATGAGGGCAATTGAAGATCAATACTTCTCAGGTAAAATTTTTTAGATCATACTCTTCCATACTAACATAAAAAGAATGAAAAAAATCACAAATAATTTGTTTACATTTCCCAGAACTCACTTGAGTTAAAAATATTTTGGATTGAATGATAATAAGTTTTACCCAGCCTTTTAATAGGTACAGAGGTCTGACATAGCACGTAATGTCGCATTTCAAAGTCACTAAAATAAGCCTAGTCACTAGGCATTTATACACTATATGGCATGAGCCTTCACTGGAGTCATGTGGCGCAGCTTGCAACTACACTGATTGTAATCAGGAACTTCAATGGATATATTTCATTTAATTCTGCCGAAACAATGCTTATGATACAATGATTATGATATTCAGTGATGAGTTCATGATCCACCGAAATAGAATAACATACTGACATCATGACATGTCGTGCTTTAAACAGGTCACGCAAGTCACACATACTGTACATGTAGCTGATGCACACTCAGCAAAGGTACACACAGAAAATAGAAAAATCAACGAACATTGCAGTACAACTTGCAAGTTGGTACCTAATTATTAAGAAGTACCTCGTAGTTGTTGTGGCTATATATGATTTTTAACAACTTGCAAATTTGCCCTTGAATCCTTGATCAGCAAAAAATATCTTTATGGAAAAATATTGGCTAGTACAGTATGGCGCGATCCCAAACGGAAGGTGATGAACAATGATCCTGATCATCTTCCCCCGGAATATCTCTTTGTACCGCTCTGTTCAAGTCTCCAATTCTGTCCTTTATCAGTTTATAAGGAGCCTGTCATCAAAGACTACTCTTCACATTGGCTGGTGACCTTGTCTTCCATACGATTCATCATTGCCAAACGTTGCTGGTAGTACTTGAGAAGTGATATCCTCCTCTTCTGAATCTGGAAGCATTTTATTCTGGTTGACATGAAATCAAAAAATGAGAAAGCACTTTAGAATAATTCTTAAATTAAGCGATTAGAAAAAGGGTTATTTTAATACTTTTGTTTCACTCTGGTCTGATAGTTTACATGAATAGACTCTATTATATCCTCTATTATATCGGTGACTCTATTGGTGTCACCTCTTGCGCATAGTTTTAACCAGAACCTCTCAAGGCAGTGTATATTTCTATACTACCTTAACTTTGACATATTGTTTTACATTAAAGGGGAAGCCTAACATTTAGGTGGTTTCAATAAAAGCAACCAAAAAAGAATGTGAAATCCATTGGAAATCCATTGGAAACATGCTAAAGGAAATCGTTTTAAAAAACGTCATGCATCAATCATGCTATTCCTCGACTAAGTAGAAGTAGTCTTTTCAAAAGGTGAACACAAGCTTTTTAAGGAGCACCTACAGTACAATAACAAAGAGTAGGACCTCATAAGAAATTACTATATTATTTGGGGGGGGGGGGGGGGGTTGGGTCATTTGTGCCATGTGCTTTTGGTGTATTCAACCATGGACGATTCAACACATAACTGATGGTCAGAGCCAGAAGGGCGTTATTAAACTCTATGTTAAAAGTATACCAGTAAGGCCTTTCTGGCACCAAATGGATGATACATAACATACATGTTCCCCATCCTGACCAAAGAGCAGAAAAAAATAGAAAGGAAAACAAGGGATAAGGGCGTGGGTTTGATCCCCGACACGGCACTAATGTCCTTTGGCAAGGCATTAATTTGTCACTCAATACCAAAGAGAGAAATAGGGACCCACCCGGTAGGATGACAAAAGAATTTGTGTTTGTCATTGCCTATGCCCTCACGGTGACCATAGGGTAGAAATACTCCCCAGGAAGTGGAGATGGTGCACATTGTGCGTGAATAAATCTGATGACCGGGGAAAAAATATCTGTAAAGCGCTTAAAGACGTTATTCCTTATCAAGAGCTATATAAATCCAGATTATTATTATAATTATTATGATGAAGATGTGAAATGGAAATGATGAGCGTTTCCAACAAACCCCTCCCCACCACCTCACGACTAGATCCTTGAAATGCCACTCCCGCAACCCCCACCCCCTTCCCCCTCATTGAGTGAGTGAAAAAAGAGCGAGAGAGAAACGTACAGCAGGAAGAAAACAATGCAAGTGGAATATCAAATGCAAGACAGTAGTGACAAACCCTCCTTCAAACACCTCTCAACTCCCTCCTTCTCATCCACTTTATAGCAAGACATGCACCCCACCCCTTTACGAATGGATCCCCATCTGTTCAAGCAAACATGTACCGGTAGTCCATGACTATTGGAGGAGCGGGGACCTTTGAATGTTTGAAACAGTTAGATGATGCCATACAAGTGCTGTGGATCATCATCATCATCATCATCATCATCATCATCACCACCACCACCATCATCATAATCATCATCATCATCATCATCATCATCATCATCATCATCATCATCATCATCATCATCATCATCATCATCATCATCATCATCATCATCATCATCATCATCATCATCATCATCATCATCATCATCATCATCATCCTCTAGCTCCCACCCACACTCACCCAGTGGTAGATGCTCGTCTGCAATTTCGATCATTTCTGCTTGGATGAGTGCTGCTCTAAGTTCTTCCTTCTGCACCCTTACAGACGTCCTACTCTTCCAATCGTACAGCATGCTTGTGGTACCTTTCACCGTTACCCTGCCCGTCATGTGGTTTGTTGATTCATACCTGAGCCATTAACATAGAGGAAATAACACAATTGTCTCATTTTCTTTTAAAACTATTACATCCTTTGTGAATTAATTTCTTACCTTACAAAAAAGGACAAGAAAAACATAGTTGTACTGTAATTTGTTTTACAGTGTACCAATCACCTAAAGACATGATCTCTAAATATTACTTCTATAAAGATATATTAGTTATAAAGATATATTGGATATTAGAAATATAAATACACTCTCTAATAACTATGTGGTACCTGTCAGTACTCTTCGAAATATCCGAGCACGCTTGCATAGAAAAAGCCTGCATGGACACTAAGTTTGATTTCGTTTCTCCATTGTCATCTAATAGCAAGTGTATCATCCGACTGGAAAACTTAACATAAATCCATGGCTTTCAAAATTTTACAAAGAGTGCCGTGAAATTCTCAAACCACTCAATTGCCTACCTGTTGATTTGGGCTGGTCTGAAATTAAGGGCCTGACCGAGCTTGCCGACACAGCTGTTGTTGATGTCCTCGGCAAGGCGGGGTATGACGTATTCGATATTGACTCTCTCTGCGACCTTGCCTTGTCTTGGGCGCCTGTATAAGTGAAGAAGAATAAATATAAGAGACCATAGTTGCAATTCTACCAACACTGTTTTACAGATACAGTTTAGTACTGGGCATGAGATGAATACAGGAACTGTCTAGAAGCAATTTGTAAAGGTAAATTGTGTACCCGGGACTCCGGGAGTACATAAAAAATGGTGTATATTGTAAGGTTTTTTATCATCACAATGATTAGAACAAAATTGAATCAGTCATACCCTTGTTTAATTTTAAAAGGAGAGGAGACCTTGCAAAACTTCAAAATTGGAAGGTAGATTTTGGGGGGGTTAAATAGTTAAAATACTTGATTCACGCTCTAAAGTCTAAACTTTGATATAAACTGACCAAACATAAATATGTGATTGAAAATACTTTGCCTGTCTGTCACAGATGGTAAAGTAAATAGTCATTTATAATTGGGTCATTCCATGAGGCTGGGGCCAAAATTGATATGATATCTTCTACTAATCATGGAAGATGAAATCATCTCTTAAAGATTTTGATAAAATGAATATACAATAGTGCCCTACCAGAATCATTTTCTGTTTGAGTTGCTTCTCCTAAAAATATTTGCTCTATATGTATTTCTTTTTTACCAGCGCTACAGAGACATCACATTTTTATATAACATACATGTAATATGAACTTCAAGTCTATAATCTTGATACACCTTTAAGCTACAGTACTTCTTAACATAGTTGACTATGCTTCTGTATGCTAGTATTAAAGCCCCACTGTCCTACTAGTAGCTACTTGCTCCCTCGGTTGGTAGTACCCCATGATCCTCTTTTTCTAATGTTAGTTGAGAGCTGAGTTACCTGTCAGTGACCTCGCTGTGTGGTCTAATCCCCTCTGGCCCAGTAGTATTGACAGTCTTTAAACTCAATTTGAGCAAATATTGTTATGGTTGATAGGAGAAATAGTTTCTCACTTCTGGTATACCAATGGAATCATCCAATATACATGTATAACATATACGTTCACTTACTGACTATTGCTGTTGGTGGATTGTACATGTAAGGCAGCCTCAGGCTCACCAGTTGTTTGTACCCTAGACGTAGAATTTGGCCTCAAAGGAACAGCAGCAACTGGAACGGCAGCAACTGGAACGGCAGCAACTGGTTCAGCCCGAAACTCACCTTCATTGGCAAAATGAATCCACAGGGTTGGTGAAGTAATAAGGTAAACAATTATATTTTACTAAAATACAGGGTAGTAAGGGTGCCATATCACAAAAAATGTTTTGCTAATTCAGGGGTGGCTACATGTTATACCATTATATATTCAAAATAGAGCTTGATATAGTATTACATGTACATGTAGGCCTACTGTATGATGCGCAGTGTAAAAAATAATTTTCTGTTTGCAGGAGCTCTTTTGGATTTGGACGCACAACAATATTTTAGTGTTTTATCGTTCACCACCAGAGATCTTAAGCTTACCAGGGATAAATCGCTCACCGCTAGCCACTCCCATACAGATGAAAAGACATTGCAAATTTAAATTAATTTTAAAATGAAAACAAAACAAACAGGCATAACCAATGCTAGACCAAAGTTTCTGTCTCTTTTGTTCGTTAGCCTCTGATTTGGGTAGGGTCGAGCCGACCCTACCCAAATCAGAGGCTTACAAACCATTGCCAGCTTTTGTCCTCTGTGCAGCTTTGTTTTATTAAATCTTTAAATATTCATATAAGTACCTGGATATACAAAGCCCTAGTGAGGCACTGCCAGAGGGCTGAAGCCCGAGGCAGCGAGGCCAATTACTCAAGTTAGTGATTTTAAAATCAAAAAATATTTTAAAAACATTTGAAAATCAAAATTAAAATAAACACTAACAACACAGGCAGGAAGAAAATTATCAAGACCCAGGCCAAGAAAGGGGTATAGACTACGTATAATAAGTTAACATTCCTTACCACTTTCAATTCTGAAGGCTAATCTGGTTTGCTCGACTACTCCGAGAGCCCTGCAAAGCATTTCCCTCGTCCCGCCGTTCCTGTGCCATGCAACTAGCATGTCCTCCGTACCTGTGCACTGTGAAGGGTTTTGATTGTTCGTCTTTTCGTACCGTTGAATCTCTGCATGCGCGAGTCCAAGATGTAATCCGAGTTTTCGGACGACATTGATATCGACTAGATTCGCGATCTGATTGATTTCTAAAGGGGTCAAATCCATGATGCTGTTAAGTGTTAATGCTGCTAAAAGTGACGAAATAATCAGCAGATTTGACCTGTAATAGCTTCTTGGACCGCGCCTACCTTGGCTACAGTACAGCTACATGTACACAGTTGATTCACATTACGGATATGCACCGTTGATGTGTATGGAACGCCTATGTTGTCTTCGACCTATGGATATTCAAAAGTTCAAGATATCATTTGAATTGATATACATTTACAATAGAAAAACAATATGATGATTAATCAATACTACGCTTCAATTTCATTAGTAGCTACAATATTGTTCAGATATTGCTTTTCTTCAAAAACCTTCGGAGTTGTAACGTAGCTCCCCGTACTGTTGTGCAAGCGGGAATCCCCCCTTTTTAACCCCAGTAAGGCAACTGACCACGCTGACGTCATCAAGTGAAAGTGCATACATACGTGTGTAGTGAGAAGGGGCGGTTAAAGAGTTGAACATGAAAGTGTCAGGCCGTCAGCTAGGCGTTATTAGTTTATCGTTATCGAAAGTGCTAAATAGTAGGTAAAATATTCTCGCTTTAGTTTGGAATGGCCATGCAATGTCTGTATAGATACACTTATTTTCTTGTCGGTTTCTCTTGGATGGCCTCCTAGAGATAATACTTAATATACTTAATAGTAGTATAGATCTCTATGGATGGCCTACATAAATGTTATGGTACGCATACGCAGGGGGGTGGGGGTGGGTTAACCTCCCCTCCCTCAATTTGTTTTAAGAACCCCCCCCCCCCCCCCCCCCTCCTGAACGAAATATCGGTGGGCATAATTTTTCAACTTCCGGGATAAGAAAAAAAATGTGTTCTCTTATTGTTGTATAATAGAATGCACACACATAATTATAGCAGAGAGTAACATATAATCACATCTTCCTGGTTATCGTATAGTTATCAGAAATGCAAGATGAGGACTCGTTTTGATTGTTCCCGCCCTTTAATGATTCCCCCAAATTGCTCAATGACTTAAAAACTCTGAATGCGAATTTACATACCCTGAATAATTCCCATAAGGTTATCGCTTTCCTCCTTATCTTTTCCCTTTTTGCCTCAAGGGGAACTTAGGAGAGGGCAGCCCGATTGATTTGCCGTTGCACTATTAGGCCTAACAAAAAAAGATGATGTAATTGCCCTTTATATGCCAAAACATGGGTCGGTCGGTCGGAAATCTTTTCTTTTTTTAACTCCCTCTTTGGGCTGATATTTCTCAGTTTTGAATGCTTTAATATTATGTTTTTCTTCTAAAAAAAAGGTAAAGAAGAAAAAACTTTTTTTAAAGCCAACCGTAGATTTCAATATTTTGGTCGCAAAGGGCAATACAACATCTCTTTCCTTTAGGCCTTACATCACACCCTCATAAATATGAATGCCTTTGAAGATTGTCAAGAACGACATTAACACAATCATAAACGTGGTTTATTGGAATATGAAAATACCTATTTGAATAGTCGAAATAATTTCCTCAGGCGTACAGTTGTCAGGCACGCCTGAGAAAATTATTTAGAATTTTTATATAGGTATTTTCATATTACAATAAACCACGATTATGATTGTGTTTTGTTTTCTTCTTCGCCTACTTTAATCGTGTTGGACAAAGCTATAAGAACAACCATGATGGATCGGGCGCTATTCTAGATTTATTTTTTTGGGGGGTGTGGGGAGGGAGGACTTGGGGGCTTGGGGATTCTTGCATTCCTTTTCTAAATTATACCTCGAGTATGTTTACTTACAGTCAAGAATTCTTGTCAGGTGGACCTGAGCCCCAAGACCCCTATAGAACCGCTGCGTTAAATGTAGTTATACAGTGTGTCCCAGAAAAAAACGAAATCGAGAATTATCGATGTTTTATCATAACTTAATCACAATTATAATTAATAAATGACACATATTTGTAAAGCTTAGATCCTCCTCTTTCATTTAATGCAATTTTGCAATTTGAAGAGAGGAAACCAAAAAGTCATTTGGCGGACGGTATCTGAATTTCAAAGAGAAAATCACATTTCTAGAAAGTTCAGTTTCTGCCCTTCCATGACACCTCAATCAGGAAAAATGAGCAAGGAATAACAAAGTTCTATTTGTTTTTGGTTTCCTCTCTTCAAATTAATTGTAATCACTCATGCTAGAAATATGCATCAGTATGAGTGGCATCAAATGAAAGAGGAGGATCTAATTTACAAATAATAATATATATGTCATCTATCAATTATAATTGCGATTAAGTTATGATAAAACATAGACAATTCTCGGTTCCGTTTTTTCTGGCACGCACTGTATACAAGATTGCATGATTGGGATCTTTGTACCGAAGAGGGGGGGGGGGGGGGTTACCCTACCCCTCATCAATGTATAATGTCATCAGTGATCATGAATGATTATGCACTAATCTCCTGTCATTAGACAACGTTAAAATCATCGTTTTTAAAGAGATTTTCGAAATTTGGGAAGGAGGGGCCCAACCCCGCGGCATTCCAAGGAAAGTCGTCTCTGCATGACGCCTTCGAATCACTTACCCTTCATATCTAAAGTATAATCCCAACGCGTTCACGAGCAAGTTCCATATGGGGTAAAATGAAGAATGACATGCTTTCATCAAAAGCGGGAGAGAATAAATAAGATATTGATACCAACAACAACAGCAAGAAGATGAGTATTATAAGACCGATATAATTATGAGAGTTACGAATATTTTAATCAATTGCATATTGCTATTATTATCTTGTATGTGGACACATATTGGTAAAACAATGCACTTATGGATATAATTCTTTCAATGTTTATAATTATATATACATGTATTTGACATCACTGATTTGTCATTTCCCCGAAAAGAATGCGAACAGATTAATATAGAATTCCGAGTTTTGTTTCACAGTCTTCATTCTACACACTATAAGAAATAAGAGTTCAATTGGGGTGCAGATTTGCATCCACCTATACGCGTATTCGACAGAGGTGTAGCAGAATCGTACCTTTATTTCGTAGCGTGTAGGCCTACAATTGTGACGTTGGTTGAATAATCAAATCAATTATGCAGAATCAGGTAAATTCGGATTATAATTAAAAAAAAAAAAAGTTAGTCAAAATTAACATAAACAAAATAAAGCTTGTAAGAATACTCTGCAAATATATCATAACAAAGTGTTGCATAAATATACATTTTTTGTTTTTTTGATAATAAAAAAAAAAAAAATAGAAGTTTGTGACCTTACAAAGTAACTAAACTACAAGGTAATTGGTTACAAAGTAGTTAAGGGCTGTGTCTCCCTTTAGTATGAACTCTCTGATAAATTGAGAATTCGTAAAAATTTCAATGAAATGTGTTCTTCAGAACTTTATGCAGCCAATGGAACGCTGAGTACTGGTAACAGACATGAAACTGTATATTTCTGAGACATTGTATCTCTCTTTTAAATATTATTATCACATGAAGACAAAAAATTACTATTGCGTTGAGTAAAAAAAATGCCGCCGGACTTCTGATTTAGAAGTTCTTATATTTGAAACAGTAATATAAATACCCCCTCACCTATCAACATCATAGACTGGGCTGTATAATTATAAACATTTATTAATGGCACATAACTTATCATGGCAAAATGTAGTATTTTTGTTAAGAATGTGATGATTCCAAAGCTTACCCTTACATACATATCTATTCAAATTTGCTATACAAACAACATTTTGATAGAAAGGTCCTGAAACAATTATGTTACAAAGAACAGTTCAACCACCAGTTCTCAGCATTAGTCTTCAGAAAACAAACAAACAAACAAACGAACAACACCAATCAACATCATAGACTGGGCTGTATATATAAACATGTATTTATGGCACAAAACTTATTATGGCAAAATGTAGTATTTTTGTTAAGAATGTGACGATTCCAAAGCTTACACATACATTACACAACTATTCAATTTGTGTATACATTCAACAGTTTGATAACAAGGTTCCTGGACAATATGTTACCAATACAAAGAATAGTTCGACCACCAATACTCAGCATCACTCTTCAGAAAATAAACAAACAAACAAACAAACAAACAACACCAATAGAATATTGTTAGTAGTAAGACATGTTAGTAAACCCACAGTCTTTTCAATTGCAGGTTTTTCAAACTTTCTTTTTATGAACAGGATCACAAAAACATTCGACGAATCAACTCAAGGAAGAAATTGCCTTATAAATAGGCTGATCTTTTTCGAAATCTTTGTGTTCTTTGGTTATTACATAGTGTTACATCCAAACGTGATGATTTGTACTATATTGTCTGTTGCCCAAATATCTACTTTCCATTTTAAGATGTTGTAAGGAGTATAACGTGACATTCACTCTCGATATATTGCATTGCTATTGCATTGCTTTAAATTAACATCTTCTCATTTAGATATATTACGGTATATTTATTATTACTCTATAAGAACACCCCGCCGCCTAAAATAAAATGAAGTTTGCCGGGATTCGGGAGATTTGGTATTTTTCCGGAGTTGGCTGAGGCTCCCCCCCCCCCCCAAAAAAAGGAGGAAAGCCTCACCACGCACGTAATTTATATGAATATACATCTACTAGACATTGCGGTTGTTTATCGTGCAGCAATTTATTAAAAAATGAATTTCAGTGGTTGTGGCCATATCAATAATAATACCGGGACCTAAACTTTGAGTTGAAATTCGCCTTCCATCTCGAGATCTCTATTTTCAACATTTTCGTTCGGGAAACATGATGGGCAGCATCTATCGAATACCAAGACCTTCAACTTATGGAGTCCCCAAACGATCAGGATATGAATGATCACGACTGCGACCACGGCCACGACGGAGAGTCCAGCCGCGAAACCCAGACTGGCCCCGAAGTCGAGAACGGAATAGATGTATGGGTTACCCTTCTGGTCGGTGCCCCCGACTGCGTAGTATATCCCAGCAAAGACAACGTATGCGGCGGCGAACATGAACGGGTAGATGAAGTGCAGGATGCGAATGATCGTCGCCGAGAGGAAGATCTCGATCAATGCGACGATCCCGTTGAGGGTATGGAAGTTGATGTCGTAGTACAGATCGTTCGTTCCGGGAACGTAGAGGGCGCCCCAGTACAGGATGGAGACGAGGATGGCGACGGAAGCGTACATGTTGAAGAGCATCCACTGGCCGCGGTGAAAAAAATACCAAGGGACGTCTGAAAAATAGATAATCAAATACATCATTTGACGATATCTTTAGACAACAAGGTGTTTCATAAATTGCCAGGCTATTCAAATCTAGACTCCTACATATTAGCAACTGTATAAAATCTTCTGTATTTAGCTGTCTCTCTATCCTAGCTCCATCACCCTGCCCCCCCCCCCCACTCTCCACTGTACTGAGGTAGATGGAAGTTTAACGAAAGGGTGGATCCTAAATTTGTATAGAATTTCGCTGTCGTTACATACTCTCACTCTGTAAGACCAAGAAGTTTGGTCAGACCAAAGAGTTTAGCTCCTAATTGGTAACACCCAACACGAAATGCGCTGTGACTTTTTTTTTTTCTTCTTTTCTTTCTGTTTTTATTGTTTTTTCTGAAAAATTAACAGAGTAAAAGCAGCAATATAAATATAATATCATCTTAAAACTACAAAACAGGCACGCACTCATGCACCCAAAAATGCGCTGTGACTTACCATCATCGGAAGTCCACCCTGCCGGCTTCATGAAGGCCGCATAGACGATGATGTTCCACAGGGCGCAGATTTGGTACACCAGCATTAGGATGTAGCCCCAGTGGGTGAGGTAGATGAAGAAGTACCCGCCGTATTCGCCTCCAGGACGCACCGACACGATGAATAAATAGAGGAAATAGCCCAAGAGATAGAGCGTGATCAGGAGACGGTAGGCCAGGTATACTCCGCAGTGCATCGGACACTGTCGGTGATAAACATTTGGAGAGTAGCATGAGACAAAACACTATTTAGAAGTAGTATTATAAGTATCATTAGTAGCAGTTATAAAGTAGTAGTGGAAGTAGTAGTAGTAGTAGTAGTAGTAGCAGCAGCAGATCATTAGCATCAGCAGTAGTATTTATTTTTAAGTGATTCGGTAACATGGTTGAAGGTTGATGAAAAAAATGCATAATTTGTGTATGAAATGCTACTTTTTATCTCTACTGTAGGCCTACTAACCCTCTAACATGCAAACAAATCCTTAATAAATTCTCAAACCACAAAGATATTCATGGTTTTCTTTGAAGGCGTCACTGTGCAACAGACTCCAACAGTACAGGTGTGCGAGCTAATAATCTGCCACGGAGACCAGGGCGTGGCATCAATCAATGTGTAATTGAATCAGTCTAGCTTTAACTTTCAACGAGTCAACTTTTATTTACAATAAAAGTACGTTGTGCCATGTTATGTTAGGACATGACTGTGTTTTATTAAGGTTTTCCAGGGCATGATACGGCTCTAGGGCTGCAGGAGATAGAGAAAGGTTTAAGTAAGCTTCTGTCACGTTTGGAAAAGTCATCCTACACTACTTTAGTCTGGGACAATAACGATTTCGGGGAAAGAACACTTTCAGGAAAAGGGACGACACATTATACAAATGGGAAAGCTGTACAACATGCACCTCTTGATGCTGTATCCCTCAAGCTTTACCAGCTCAGAGTATGAAGAAGACAAGACAACGATCTTTGCCTGCACCTGCTACAATACTGGTGAGATTCACTGGCCAGAGGAAATCATCGCCAGAGGCATTTGATGATTCCGTGGCGCTTGAGATGAGTCAGTACAATGACGTTTTACATTCTAACAAAGAAAGGATGCAGCTTTCTACGTTGCAAAATCGTCACAGACTCACAGGAACGACTACTGCCATCTTGGACTGGATTTAATCAACTGCTTTCGTCCAATATCCCTCCTAAGGCTAGTGATAGATGCCAGCACAACAGATTTTAACACCGTCCATACAGTACTACACCGAAGTCTGGAGATAGCAGATCAGTGGCACTTCAAGCCATTGTGATATTGGTTGATCAGGCTATTTATTGCAAAGCTCAAACAATTCGCTGGCAAGAACCAATGTTTCTGAAGAAGATAGTCATTCGGCTAGGGGCTTTCCACACAACAATGACAGCATTCGCTTGTATTGGAAAGCGATGTCAGGAGGCAGGACTGCAATATATTCTTATTGAGGCTGGTGTTGTAGCTACAGAGTCAGTGACTGGTGTGATGAATGGCCACAACTACAATAGAAGTATCAGATGTCATGAACTTATGGCCGAAGCACTTCATCGCTTGCGCTGGCAGAGCTTCATGTGTTCTTTGAAAGAGGAGAGGCAACATCATTAAAGAGAAATAGTGGCATCTCTACAAGGGTCATTTCCAAGTGAATTCATCAACCAAGTTCAAGGAGAGTTAATTGTACCAAGCAATGGTCAAGGAGTACGAAGATTTCATTGAAGAAGGAAAGAAGGATGCTACTTTCACATTTTGGTCTTCCTATCTAGATTTGGTTGGAAATATCCTTCTGTTCATACGTGCAACACGAGACGGAGATTGGCAACTACATCTTGCTTCAGTCAGAGCCCTGCTTCCTTGGATGTTTGCCTATGACAGAACAAATTATGCACGGTACCTGCCAGTTTATTGGATCGAGATGAGCCAACTTCTTATTACCACTCATCCATACATTTACAACGAGTTGATCAATGGTCACTTTGGAGTGCAACGCCAAGACAGTCATGGGTTTGTACAGGTGGCATGTGATATGACTATTGAGCAGACAGTCAATAGGGATACAAAGACCAGCGGAGGAGTAAAAGGGTTCTCCAACAACCAAGGAGCGACAGACCGCTGGGTCAGAGGTCACATGCATGAAAGAGCCCTAATTATCACAAGACGGTGCGAAGAAACGGCTGGAAAGGGCGAGAAGTCTTCAAAAGAGTAGTCTTAACAACAAGCAGGATGACAAGGGACCAGCAGGATGTAGCCAATATCTGAGTACCATCAACAGCATGACAAATCCCTTTGCAGTCGATCAAGAGACAGATGCTGATGATCTTGTGCATCTCTCATCAGGCAATGTTGCGTCAGTCAGTGTGTACTTAGATCTTCTGAAAGCAGGCGAGAAGGGGGACAAAGCATTTATCAACTTTGCCAAAACCAGACTACAAGGAGATACCGATCTTAACAAGACCATCACCAAGTTGAATCTTAAGACATTTGCCGATTCTGACAACGCAAAAGTCAACATTAAAGGGAGAGAAGTTGTGCTTAAGAGCACCGGGAGTTACTGGCAAGGCTCATCATCATCGGCCGTGTGCGCAAAGTTGACAAACGGAAGATGCTAAGTCACTCCTTAAGCACATACCCACCAGCCATTTGTAAAGAAGATGGATGTTTGGTCAAGAACAACAAGGCTGCCCTCCTTCACCAGTTGGAAAATTTGCCAGAATCATCCCCAACAGTGGATCGACTGCTGGAGTCAGTGTGGATTGTTGATGGTATGGCATTGCTTCAAGGCCTAATACCAAGTAGGATGCCTGCTACCATGGAACGGTTGGCGAAGAAAATCCTGAATGATCCAGTCTACCTAGCCAGAAGCACCAGTTCTGATCAAGTCCACTTTGTCGCCGACACATATTCGCCTGTCAGCATCAAAGGTGCAGGAAGAAAAAAGTGTGGTGAGGATGCAAGTGGGTCCCAGCGTATAAAAAATGCAAACCAGGGGGGCGTTTCATGAAACAATTAGTCGGTGGTTTTCACCGACATCATCATGTTCACCAACAATTCTTTTGTCACCGACTATTTTCCAGGACTGTGATTGGTCAAATTTAGTCAGCGCTGACTAAATTGTCGGTGAACATGATATTAGTCGGTGAAACCACCGACTAATTGTTTCATGAAACGCCCCCAGGACCAACCGGTTCCAAAGCAATGGAAGAAATTCTTGGCAAATAGCTTCAACAAGCAAAACTTTGCCAAGATTTTATATGAGTCGTGGAGTGCTTTTGGTCAGGATGAATTCAAGGGAGTTGATGTATATCTAGCTCATTCTGAAGAATGCCACCAGTTATCTTGTCGTAGTGGTACCACTGTCTGTGAAGCGATTCCAGACCTATACACTACTCAAGAGGAGGCCGACACGAGGATTATGCTACACGCAAAGTACATCAGCAACATGGGTACAAAGGATATCATCATAAAGAGCCCGGACACCGACGTATTCGTCATTGACATTAGCGTGTCTGTCCAACTTGAGGGTTCGAAGTTGTATTTTCATACTGGAAAACAAGATAAGGAGCGCACAATTGATTTGAACGCCGTACAGTGTCATCTGGGAGATGAAATCAGCGATGCAATTATAGGCCTCCCCCCATTCACGGGTTGCGTTTTAGTCAGTGCTATGTATATGGACGGGGAAAGACTAAACCCTTTAACGCTGATGTCGAAGACTCCAAAGTTTATCAAGGCAATTCAGGAGCTTAAAAAAGCATTCACACTTACTGATGACCTAATTTCTACTCTGGAGAAGTTTGTTTGCAAGTTGTATGGGATGAACGAAATCAGTAAGGTGAATGAAGCAAGATATGCTCTGTTTTTCATGGCTACGAGACAAGAAGACATTATGCCCCAAAACAACGATGCCCTCATGAAACACATCCAGAGGGCCAATTTATACCAAACCGCTATTTGGAGGCGCTGCCTAGAGAGCCAGCCAGAAGTTCCGTCACCAGTTGGGCAAGGTTGGCAATCGGTTGATGGAGGGCTTCGAATAGACTGGATGGATATGCAACCTGCTCAACAGAGCATCATTGAACTTAATCCATGCATGCAAGTGCAAAAAGGTCAAATGTAAAGTCACAGGCAATGGCGGATCCAGGGGGTGGCCCGGGGGGCCGCCCTCCCCCCACCCCCCTTGGGAAAAAACGTGTAAAAATACGCCAATTTCACCTTTTTTGGAGATGGGCCCTCCCCCTGAGGTTCTTGGTGGGGGGGGGGGGGGGGGGGGGGGGGGGGGAGGGGTGCGATTTTTCAATTTTTGAGGGCCAAAAACGTGTTCACTAACCCCCCCCCCCCCCCCCTCCCCTACCCACTGAACGACTTTTCGGCCGGAGCGTTTTTCAAATCTTCGGGAGCAAAAAAAAAAAAAGTGCTCACTAATATATTGTTTAATGTATGTATTGTTTAATGTATGTATTATTCATCAAACTTGTAGCAGAACAAAGAAAAGTAGTTTGTTTTTTACTGTAATATTTATTGTTTGTAAATGAACTTGCTCATTCAGAATAATCGTTAAATCAATACAGGCTTTGTTGCAGAAAAATGACATACTTACGTATTTTGGCTTAAATTGTTATGTTCATGCAAATTTCCTCAACTATACAGTGTTTTGTGAAATGCCGCATATTACATCTTCCCTATAGATATTCTGTACAATAAATATGAAGTTAGACGACCACAGCGGTATCACATTCACTGATTAAAACCAATTACCACCTGTATTTAATTGTGAAAATCACTTGCAGTCCCTTTCTGAAGGAATGCTTGTTTATAGATCTTTTGTTTGGGCGCAATTTTTTCGGAAGTGCTCCACTTCTGGACGTGGGAACTATCAGGATATTGATAAGACACACAGTACCCACATCTTAAGCCATAGTTTAGGTAGTCACAAGGAGGAAACTACAAAAATCCTTTTAGGAAGCTCTTTTGACCCCATGCCCTATAGTCTATATGGTTGTCATGTTTGCGAGTCGAGAGGAGTTTGGTGTATTTGTAGACAAAGATGGAGAAAGAGAGAGAGAGAGAGAGAGGGGGGGGGCAATTAAGGAAAATGTTACCATAGTAAAAGTTTATTTTTTGCTTAAAGAGAAGGTTGAGTTCTGGGAAGAGGTGAAAATAATTTGTGAGCGTTACTCATTCTTATTATGCAAGTGTGGAAGAACATCAGATAAGACATGTTCCCTGAAAAGCATGGCTCTTCAAATGCCTTCATATTCTAAATATGCATGTGACATCGTAAAAATCGGGGCCGGCTTTTTACGCCACGTGTTCGTGTAGTCCCATATACATCTTTCTGTGTACAGTGTTTGTAACTTTACCAAGACTTGGCCAAATTTATTATCATTTTGATGATTCCAGAACCTTGCAATACACACAAATTCTTATATGCTAGATGATCAACCTTTTCTGGTCGGTTCCACACCGTTTCTTTCACAATGCAATCGCATGACCAGAACTCAACTTCATCTTTAATTGCATCAATAAATATATTGTTCTTTCGCGTTCATCACTCACTTGTACAGTAACTGTTAATGTACGTAGATAAATTTGGGCAGGGGCCAATTATACCTAGATAATAGATACGCCCCTGTTATAGAAACAACAATTCTAGTAAGGTGGCAAAATAATTGTTTGGAACTAGCAATCTCGACAACTTGACCATCGTGACGTCAAACTTCAGAACTCTTTTATGTTAAGTGGGATTATTTACTGACCTGAGTTGTGACGTAGACGGATGGGGACACCCCTCCAAGCCCGAAATCGGAGCATTTCGGGCGCGAGCACGTACAAGATCTACTACGAGTAGACATTTTTGATCAAAAAGTTTGTTTATACGACTAAAATTAGGTCGTAAATAGCAAGTAGTCAGAGCTAGCGTTTGCTGCCGATCAACTTCGCAAAAGTGTAATGTTTGTAAGTCTGCAGAATTTGAGTCGATTATAATTTCAATCAAATAGATTGGAACTCGTTGTGAAAGTCCACCACTACAGTCAGACTGATACTACACAAACTTCTGCCCGCCCACAACAGCAGCAATGAAAATGAAAGCATTGCACTAATAACGTGGGAAATCGAGTTGAATACACAGTAAAATACAAAGCCAGTGTTTACACACGCAAGTACATGCAAATACGACGTTCCGAACTGACAACGTTTTTGTGACTCAACAAAGCGTATATTTTTCTATTGTGTGTAATATTGCGAATGACAGGTAGGGAAGGTACGGTATGTTTTTGAACTCATTGAGGGTCACGCTACAAAGCTACAATAGTCATCATCATCAACTTCAGGTGGCGCTGTAAAGCGTTGCTGTGGTCTTCACGAGAGCGCGCCATGCAACTCTTCCACCTGCCATTTGTGTTGCACCTTTCATTCCTTGCCCAGACACTTTCTTGATATCATCAGTCCAAGATATTGATGGACGACCTCTACCCCGTTTTCCTTCGACTGCTCCTTGCAGTATTTGCTTCTCAACAATGTGCCCAAAATAGTTTGGTTTTCTTTCCATGATTCCCCTTCTGATGGTCAAGTCTGTTCCAATCTTTTTCCAGGACCCACACATTTGTCATTTTATCTTTCCATGACACTTGCAACAGCCTCCTGTAGCACCACATTTCAAAGGCATCAACTCTCTTTCTGTCATTCTTTGTCATGACCCAGGACTCACTTCCGTAAATCGCAATAGAGAAGGAAGTTGCTTGAAGCAGACGAACCTTCAGACTGGGAGATAGGCCCGATCGGCTCTTCCAGATGTGAGACATATTCTGTACTGTTTATCTTGCCATTGCCATCCTTCTTCTTATCTCTGCGGTGCTCTCTCCTTTGTTAGTGATAATTGAACCCAAGTATTCGAACCGATTTACTACTTCAATCTTATTTCCAACTACGATGAAGTCAGTGTTATTATTATCTATATGGACAACCATCATTTTTGTCTTTTTTGTGTTTAAAAGAAGGTCTTTCTCTTGTTTGATGCGATTCAACAAATCAATCAGCTCTTCTCTGCTGCAAACGAGGGTAGTGTCGTCAGCATACCTTAGGTTCATGATCTTTTTACCTCCAAACTTAACTCTCCCATTGAATCCTTCCAGAGCATTTCTCATTATGTCTTCAGAATAGATATTAAAAAGGTTAGGAGACAGTGTGCAGCCTTGACGTATTCCCCTGCCAATTTCAAACCACTTGGTATTGCCGTTACATGGTTCTCACTGTTGCTTCTTGGTCATGATAAAGGTTTTTGATCAGTTCGATGATGTGACTTGGGAACCCCATCTTTGCCATTGTATTCCATTATTGAGAGTGGCTCACACAGTCAAATGCTTTGCTATAATCTATACAACACAAAATAGAGGGGATATCTGTGTTCACTGCATTTCTCTATTACGTTCGCATGTTGACAATTTGTTCTCTTGTCCCTCTACCTTCACGGAACCCTGCTTGCTCATCTGAGATCTCGGCTTGCATTTTGATTTTCATTCTTCTACTAATCACCTTCAGAAGTATTTTATTTGCATGACAAATCAAGCTGATCGTTCGGTGATTTGCACATTCTTTTAGATCTCCCTTCTTTGGAAATGGTACAAAACAGCTCTACACCAGTCCTTAGGCCACTACCTACTATTCCAGATATTGCAACAGAGACGCCACATCAGGTCAGTACCTAGTGAGCACTAATTTTTTTATTTGAAAAATCGCACCCCGACCCCCCCCCCCCCCCCATTCAATGTATAATGTCATCAGTGATCATGAACGATTATGCACACATTTCCTGTCATTAAACAACGTTGTTTTTAAAGCGATTTTCGAAATTTGGGGAGGAGGGGCATAACCCCGAGGCATTCCAAGAAGAGCGACCTCTGACGCCTTTGAACCTCGAACCCTTCATATCTAAGTATAGTCCCAACGCGGCCAAGAGCATGTTCCATATAGGATATAGTTGAAGAATGACATGCTTTCAACAAAAGCGGGAGAGAAGAAATAAAATATTGATACCAACAACAACAGCAACAATAACAAAATGAGGAATGTAAGACAGACGATATAAGAGTTACCAATATTTTGATCATTTGCATATTGCTATCTTGTGGACACATATTGGTAAAAGAGTACCCAAACATTTGTGGATATAATTCCTTCGACGTGTATTGGATATCACTGATTTCTCATTTCCCCCAAAAGAATGTGAACAGAATAATATAGAACTTCAAGTTTTGTTTCACAGCCTTTATATACATTTGTGACATTGGTTGAATAGTCAAAATCCATGTGCTGAATCAAGAAAATTCGAATATCAATAAAATATTAGTTAAAATTAATTTAAACAATATAAAGCTTTTAAGAATAAGATAACAACTGTTGCATAATTATACAGATATTTTTTTTATTTTTTATTTTTTTTATTTTTTTAAAGAGGTAGATTGGTTATTAGGTAGTTTAAGGCCATGTTTCCTTGTAGTATCACATCTCTGATAAATTGAGAATGTGTACCAATTTCAATGAAATGTGCACTCCAGACTCATTCATATGCTGTTAACCAATGGAGCGCTGAGTACTGGTAACAGACATAAAACTGTATTTTTTTTTATAGATATTTGTATCTCTTCTCTTTTTTATTATCACATGAAGAAGAAAAAAAACATAATTTGAAACAGAAATATAAATACCCCCCTCACCTCCCCTATCAACATCATAGACTCGACTGTATATAAACATGTAGTTATGGCCCATATTATTTTATTTATTATTTATTTTATTATTTATTATTACTTTCTTTATATGATCAGGATCACAAAAACATTCGACAAATCAACTCAAGGACGATTTTATACCCTGTTGAGTAAAATCATTTTTTTCGAATTACGTCATATTTTGTTTTCATGTAATGTTCGAACGCGCCAGTACGTGATGATCCAAGGCTATAGAAATTGCCTTATAGGTTGATGTTTCGAAATTTTCGTGTTCTTTGGTTTATTGCATAGTGTTAGATCTAAACGTGATGAGTTCTATTATTAATTTTGCCTAAATATCTACTTTCCACTTTAAGATGTTGTAAGGAGTATATTGTGACATTCACTCTCGGTATATTGCATAGCTTTTCATAGCCTTTTAAAGCAACATCTTCTCATTACAGTATATTTATCATTATTATATAAGAACACCAAGCTACCTAAAATAAAATGGCGTTTGCCGGGATTCAGGAGAGTTTGTAATTTTTTCGGAGTTGGCTAAAGCTCCCCCCCCCCCCACACCCCCTAACAAAAAAGGAATCCTCACCATGCATGTAATGAATATACATGTAATAGACATTGCGGTTGTTTATCGTGCAGCAATTTACCCGAAAAATGAATTTCAGTGGTTGCGGCTATCAATAATAATACCGAGACCTAAACTTTGAGTTGATGGGGTTCGCCTTCAATCTCGAGATCTCTATTTTCAACGTTTTCGTTCGGGAAACATGATGGGCAGCATTTATCGAATATCAAGACTTTCAACTTATGGAGTCCCCAAATGATCAGGATATGAACGACCACGACTGCGACCAGGGCCCCGATGACGAGTCCAGCCGCGAGACCCGGATTGGCCCCGAAGTCGAGAATGGAATAGATGGACGGGTTTCCCTCCTCGTCAGTGCCCCCGGCTGCGTAGTATATCCCAGCAAAAACAGCATATGCGACGGAGAACATGAACGGGTAGATGAAGTGCAGGATGCGAATAGCCATCGCCGAGAGGAAGATCTCGATCAGGGCGACGATCCCGTTGAGGGTATGGAAGTTGATGTCGTAGTACAGATCGACCGTTCCGGGAACGTAGAGGGCGCCCCAGTAAAGGAGGGAGATGATGATCGAGACGGAAGCGTACATGTTAAAGAGCAACCACTGGCCGCGGTGAAAGAAATACCAAGGGACGTCTGAAAAATAGATAATTAAATACATAATTTGACGATATCTTTAGACAACAAGGTGTTTAATAAATTGCCAGGCTATTCAAATATAGACTCCTACAAATTAGCAACTGTATAAAATCTTCTGTATTTAGCTGTCTCTCTTCCCCCCCCCCCCCCACCACTCCCCACTGTACTGAGGTAGATGGAAGTTTGACGAAAGGGCAGATCCTAAATTTTGTCACTTAAAGGCGTTAGATTCCGAAAAAGTTGATTCAAAATTCATATTAGTACAATTAAAGGGAGTGTGTCATGAGGAGGCTATGTGTCTTTCCCGTGGCCCTACCCGGGGCCAATCGGGTATAATACGACTACGGACGACGCGACAACAGCATTCACGTGCGTGCAAAATACGCGAAACCGAAGCGTAAGGACCATTTCGGTCTGTTTCGCGAACGCTAGCGCGCTGACCCAGTTAATCAAGTCCATTCGTTTATATGAAGAAGAATATGCAATTGTTCAAAAGGAGACGTAGATGGCGTTAAACAGTATTTCCCATGATACATTCCCAATTTTTTAGGGGCAAAGTTCCACCAAGTTCCAATGAGATACTTCTACTCGGATCTTTGTATAGAATTTTGCTGTCGTTACACACTCTCACTCTGTAAGACCAAGAAGTTTAGCTCGTTGGTAACACCCAACACGAAATGCGATGTGACATACCATCATCAGAAGTCCACCCTGCAGGTTTCATGAAGGCCGCATAGACGATGATGTTCCACAGGGCGCAGATTTGGTACACCAGCATTAGGATGTAGCCCCAGTGGGTGAGGTAGATGAAGAAGTACCCGCCGTATTCGCCTCCAGGACTAACCGTCACGATGAATAAATAGAGAAAATAGCCCAAGAGATAGAGCGTGATCAGGAGACGGTAGGCCAGGTATACTCCGTAGTGCATCGGACACTATAGGGAATAAAAGTTTGTAGAGTATTATAAGACAAAGTAAAATTTAATTAAGTGACTCGGGAACATTGTTGAAGGTTGATGAAAAAATTGAATTAAAAAGAAAACAGATTTTTTGAAAAATCCAGAAAAATTATCTAATCACAAAGATATTTATGGTTTTCTTTGAAGGAGTTACTGTGCAGCACCTTCTTACAGTAAATTCTCCCAACCATTTTTGAATTTTCCAAACGTTTTTCCATAAAACAAGACATACATGTTAAGACAGGATTTTAAAATCTTTCGACATTTAATTGTCTAGAATGGTATATAAAGCCAATTCATTTCTTTGTGACGATTTACATTCACCTAAAATGTAATTCAATTGTAATAAAATAGTTGGGAGAATTAAAGAATCGACCAGATCAGTTTTCCCCAATTTTTATCATTAATAATGGTCTGTTTTCACACAAACTTTCAAATTCTCTTTAATTATGCATGTAGCCTTGAAGTCACTACCTTAGCACCATTTTCTCTCATTCAAACAGTGTTACCAAGTCCCTTTAATGTTATTATTTAAAGAAAATAAAAACAAAAACCGCGGCCTCCAAAATGCACTCGAGTACAAGTGCATAACATTATTGAGATTATTTGTAAACAGGAAAAGAAATGTCTATCAAAGAAAACTTTACCCAGATGAGGAAAAAATTAACATGACTGGTATTCTTGTAAATACTACAACTTTAATGCACTAATGTACAGTTTTCTAAAACAAGAGGTGTATCAAGCATACTCCTGCTGACACTCTGGATTTACAAACAAATTTGCATGTTGTTACACAACAATAACTTTATCATGAGGTAATGAATACTTTAATAAAATCAGTTTGAAAATTGTGACATTAGAAAGACGTTTACATGTTATTAGACATGAACATTACAATTTACAAATTTACAAATTATAATTTCAGTAATAATGACTGTCGGAAAAAAACTCTGACATTTAAACGCCTGCTAACACTGTGACATTTAAACCGTGAAGTTTAAATGAAAATAACTAACACAAATTACACTACTTTAACCGAATCACGAAGTAATGATTACCATAATGATAAAAACAGCCTAAAAACTGACAATAAACTCCTGCTGACACTCCGTAAATTAAAGTGTGTAATTTTACAAGACTTTAAAATTGTATTACACATGGACATAATCACGGGATACATGTTATCATGAATTAAAAATCACAGCAACAAAAGCAGTCTTTCATCACCCTGAAACACTAATTAAAAAGTTCTAATGATTTACAGTGCATATAAACCCATATAAACATTCACCATCAGCATCGTCTTGTGTGCTGTGGTCGGACTGGCGTAGGGTAGCGTACTATTGCGTAGGCATGGCGTACAGTAGCATAGTGTTGCGTAGAGATAGCGTCCAGTAGAGTAGTGTTGCGTAGACTTGCGTACTTTCTGCGTACTTTCTGCGTATAGTGTCTACGCCGAAGGTACGCGAAAAAAATAAACATGTTGAATTTTTTGCGACCATCTCGCGTACCCATTTGCGTCCCTCTGCGTACAGTTACGTAGGCCGGCGTAGGGTTGCGTACGATCGGCGTAGTCGGTACGCAACACTACGCAACTCTACGCAACTCCCACGCAAGGCCCGGTGTGTAAGCCCCTTTAGGCTAGCGGTCATTCGTTTTTAACGCTACTTAACATGTCGTAGTCATTCTTGGCTGGCGCAAAATAATTGTTTGGAACCAGCAACCTTGACAACTTGACCATTGTGACGTCTCTCTTATATTATGCTACGGGTGAAAATAAGTTGGATTATCTACTGACCTGAGTTGTGACGTAGACGGATGGGGACACTCCTCCAAGACCGAAATCGGAGCATTTCGGGCGCGAGCACGTACAAGATCTACTACGAGTAGACATTTTTGATCAAAAAGTTTGTTTACGACAGTAGGTCGTAGTTGTTTTTTTTCGAGTGAAAATTAGGTCGTAAATTATCCGGTGTTTGTTCGAGTTAACATGGGTAGCAAGTTGTCAGAACTGGCGTTTGCTGTTGATCAAACTGGCTAAAATATCGTCCTCAATTATCGCTTCGCATGGGCTTATTATATTAGGGATAATAATTATTCTGTTACTCCGGTATGATGCGGTACATGGTGGTCTTGACGAGTCGCCCTTATCACTTTCACCGATGTGCAGAATTTGAGTCGATGATAATTTCAATCAAATAGATTGGAACTCGTTGTGAAAGTCCACCAAAGTACAGTCAGACTGATACTACACAAACTTCTGCCCGCCCACAACAGCAGCAATGAAAATTGAAAGCATTCAACTAATAACGTAGGAGATCAAGTATCACAGTATAATATAAGGCCAGTGTTTACACGCAAGTAGGCCTACATTATATACGACGTTCCGAACTGACAACGTTTTAATTGTAACTCAGCAAAGCGTATTTTGGTATATTGTGTGTATATTGCGTAATAAGTGTAAGGTTGATTTTTTGAGCTCACTGAGGGTCACGCTACAAAGCTATAATAGTATTGATCACAAATGCACTGTTTGTAATGTATGCCTTCAAAGCCAGGCTTGATCGTTGCTGGGAGGAACAGTGTCATATCTCTCAATACTCGAACTGTTTCTTCAATTTCTTTGCTCCTGGGACATTGTACATGGTACATTGTCCAGTCAAGATGCAACCTCTTGCTCCTCTGCCTCCCTGACTTGTATATAATGAGAATTATTATTAAAGAGTATTAGTACAAGAAGATAGACCAAGAAGATAGACCTGGAAGCTCGACTGCTGTCTCAGCATTCTTCCAGTATTTGCGGTAAAAGGTAAATATATATAGGTCATTTATGACGTATAAGACATTTGGCATGATTTTAAATCACATCCTGAACGATCATACTTATGGCTAAAAGGATTTGTTATTGTTTGCAAAGTCAGAATTGAAAGATATTTTGGACATACTCAATATCATACAAGTGATATGGCAAAAAACAAAAGTTTAAAGTCGACGTTTTGGCAAGATAGATTGAGATATAGAGAGAGAGAGAGAGAAAGGGGGGGGGGGGGAGTGACAGAGGTGACATCTAGTGAACAGTGAAATAATGAACTTATTTTTCCCCAAATAAAATGATATAGAAATTACTTTTATCCTAAATCCTTATCCACATAATACAATGGAGAGTGCGTGTGACAAAAAAGGAGAAGATATTGTTTTCGGTGAAGAAAAAAATAGTCTAATGAAGAAATTATTTACTTATAATCATACCCATATCGCGATTTCACATTCTAAAAAGTTATTGACATTCCAAAAATAGTCTTTCCGGATTTATTTTAAACACTTATGATCTGTTACGTTATCTTTCATAATTTGTTTTTTTAATGTTGATATTACCAGGGTTGGATTAAATAGGAGCGCCAGAGCAATTCCATCTGATAACACCCCTTCGTTTAAAGGGCAAGTCCACTCCATAAATAATTACATTTCAATAGAAGCAGAAAAATCAGACAAACCAATCAAAAAAAGTTTGGGCAAAATCAGATAACTAATTTTAAAATAAAGTTATGAATTTTTAATGACATGTGCCTCTTTTTTCTTTTTAATAAGAGCCACTTTCCCCCTTCTCATAAAAGCCCCCTTTCACCTCCGATAAATTCCCCTATTAAAATCTGATCGGTGCCCCTTTTCTTTCAACAAATGCACATTTCCCTTTATCATTCGTGCCCCTTTTTCATTCTCATAAGTGCCCCTTTTCACCTCTGATAATTACCCTTTTAAACATGATATGTGCCCCTTTTTTCTTTCTAATAAGGAACCTATCCCTTTTTCAAGTGCCCCTTTTCTCTTCTTATAAATGACTCTATCAAAATCTGATGGGTGCCTCTTTTCCGTCGACAAATGCAAATTTCCCATTCTTATAAAATCCCTTTTCATTTCTGGTGCGCGCCTCATTTTTTAAGTGTAAGAAGTGCCCCAGTTTCACCTCTGATAATTAGCCTTTGTACTTTGACACGTGCTCCTTTTCTTTTCTAATAAGTGTCTTAACCCTTTCGATAAGTGTCCCCTTGTCCTCTCATCATTAAACGTGCCCCTAATTTCAAGCGACTAAGAGTAATTTCCCCCAAAAGCTCGCTCGCTACGCTCGCTACTGCAAAGTATGGTGCTTAAGCAATATTTTATATGATGTAAAAAGAGAAACAAATATTGAAATCATACCTGGTAATGTAATCACAATATAGGGGTATATACCAATGTCTAAAACAAATTATATTTTCGCTTTGAGGATTTCCCTTTGAAGGTGCCCTTTTTCCAGAAAATACCCTTTTTTGCTGGTGCCCCCCACCCCACTTTGGAATTCGCTCCGCCGCCTCTGCGTGTATGTACCAGCACTCGCTAGATCCCCTTTATTGTATGTTTTTGTATGACTTAGACCACGTCATGTACGTGTTTAGTGTATAGAACTGTAGAGAAATAAAGATAAAGACAATGTTTCATTTTCAAAAATAATGATAAACATTGATAAACAAGCAGTTGTTACAAAACCCGTTCGTCTGTTTTCTTGGCTATCTGCGTACTAGGCGTACATGCTTAACTAAACGATAAAGTGAAATAAGTATTGACACTGAAATAATACATGTTCATTTCTTGTGAGCCAAAGGTCCGACTCATTACTGCACATTTCCGTGTATCATAGACATTAAACTAAGGCCTATATAGATCAAAATATAAATTAAAGGGTTTTAAAAAAAGAAACAAAGAGAGAAGAGACTAGAGTGGTATGAACATAAAATAATAAGACAATTTTCAACAAGAACAATAAAGGGGAATTTGATTTAAATCTTCAAAATAGTCCTAAATGTTATTCACCCTTTTATTATTTTTTTCAGATATTCACAACAAATATGTTTGCACTATTAAAGGTAATTATGAATACCTTGGTAGCCTTGCTTTTACTTGATTTCTAGCTTGTAACCTTATTTCAGATATTGCTCTTTCTATTACCTTTCTTATTTACATTTTTTTTAAATTCGGTAATAAATAAATGAAAGCATCGAGATCTTTAAAAAAATCAAAGAAACATACTGTTTTGTGTTTTTGATGTTTTGTCGTCTTCCATCGTGCTTAATACCTTCTGGAGTGAGCACATTATGAACGTTGTTGTTTTTATTTCCATATAATAAAATCGGTTAAAATACATACAAAGTAATCATACAAACAAAAGAACAAAATAAAGCTGGTATATATTGGCTCTCCTCCTCGTCTCCTTCCGCCCCATCTCTTTCCTTACGTTTGTTTCCCTTCCCTCTCTTCCCTCTAAAAGATTTCCCTTTTGGTCCCATATTTCTTCGACAGGAGATGCACCCTCGACGAACACTATGAACAGAGTAAGGATTTAAACTTCGCGCGCTTAGCTTTATAACCGCGATAACTCAAAATTTGCATGAATTGTTTACGTACACCTTACGAGCACCTTAAGAACGCCTTACGAACGCCAGGAGTCGTTCGTACAAGGACAATAAGAATCTCCACTCGTAAGGCGTTTTTACGAACGCTGTAAGAGCCCTCTATGAACAACTTGAGGCGTTCTTACGGTCATCGTAATAATTTGAAGTTTCTAGAATTGTCCCTCGACCCTACGAAATGTATTTAAATCTTGCGTGGTTCTTACGATATAAATACGGTGTTCGTACGGCCGCCTTACGAAGAAGGGTTTCGTACGATGTAAAAAAAAATCTTGGACAAGACCATCGACCAATCTGCGATCTTACGAACGGTCTACGAACGCTGGTTTAGTACGGCCTTCTTAAGAAAATCTTAAGAATTGGTCTGAAAATCGTTCGTACGGCGTTCGTAGCAGCCCGTAAGGGTATTTGTGACCGAGGCTTAAGTAAAATCCCAACGCGGCCACGAACAAGTTTCATATACACTGTCGCTCATATAGTTGGTGCTGATCCTGGGGCCTCACAGTTACGAGGCCATTGCTTCGTCACTGAACCATGACTGTACGCAGCGGGGGCTAGGGTAGGGGGCAGTTTCCATAAATAAAAAATAAAAAATTAGCGCATTTTACCCCAGTCCCCAACATAAAAAAAATCCTCTGGACGGCCATGCATTATGGCTCATGGTATGGGCACACAGAGGATTTTTGTATGTTGGGAACCGGGGTAAAATGCAATAAATTATTGAAAATTTATTGCATTTTCTTTGTTTTGTTAATATTTATGGAGACTGTCCCCTATCCTAGCTGCCGCTGCGTACAGTCATATTTCATTGACGAAGCAATGGCCTCGTAACCGTGAGGCCCCAGGATCAAAACCGTAGCGATGTGCTATATTAGTGCCCTTTTGTGGGGCATTAATCCTCATTACTGTCATTTATGACTTAAGGGCGTAGGTCCCGTAGTTGATAAGCATAGTAGCATACACATGCTTTAGCAATCACACAAAACACACATTGTCAAATTATTATTTAATACAATATATTTTTTTTTTAATTATTTTAAAATAATTCCATAAATTGGGGTAAAACAAAAATATTCCAACTGTATGAGCGACAGTGTAGGATATAGTTGAAGAATGAAATGCTTTCAACAAAAGCGGGAGAAAAGAAATAAGATATTGATACCAACAACAACAGCAACAATAAAAAAATGAGGAATGTAAGACAGACGATATGATATATATTTTAATCATTTGCATATTGCTATCTTGTGGACACATATTGGTAAAACAGTACCCATGCATTTGTGGATATAATTCTTTCAATGTTTATATACAGGATATCATCGATTTCTCATATCCCCAAAAAGAATGCGAACAGATTGATATAGAATTCCAAGTTTTGTTTCACAGCCTTTATATAATTGCACCAACGAAATAAGGGTGCAATTTAGGTGCAAATTTGCATCCACCTTATACGTGCATTTGCCAGAGGGTGCTGCTATTGTAGCAGAATTGTACCTTTATTTCTTATTAATGTCTACAATTGTGACGTTGGTTGAATATTCAAATCCATATGCAGAATCGAGAAAATTCGGATATGAATAAAATGTTAATCAAAATTAATTCAAACAAAAAAAAGGTTATAAGAATACTTTGTAAAATGTTGCATAAATATATATATATACTGTATATATTTGTTTTTGATATTTTTTTTTATATAGAGGTAATTGGTTATAAGGTCATTTGGGGCCATGTCTCCTTGTAGTATTATATCTCTGATAAATTGAGAATTTGTACGAATTTTAATAAAATTTACATTACAGACTCATTACATACCTGTATGCAGTTAACCAGTGGAGACTACCACGTTGAACAGGCTGGATCCAACACGATAAAGGTTGAATCTAACATGTTAAAAGAAACAAATCTACCATTTTAAGAAAAAAGTGGTCACTCCTCCGCCCTTTTAAATTGTGATTCAACATTTTAGTTTTTAGAGTTTATAATGCAAAGCTGTTCATAGCCTTTTAAACTAACTTCTCATTTAAATTATACTATGGTATATTTATTATTACTGTACAACACCACACTGCCTAAAGTAATATGACGTTTGCCCGGAAACGGGTGATTTGGTATTTTTTCCAGAGTTGGCTGAAGCTCCGTACCCCCCCCCCCCAAAAAAAAAAAAAAAAAAAAAGAGGAAAGCCTCACCACGCACGCATATGAATATACATGTAATAGACATTGCAGTTCTTGACTGTGCAGCAATTTATAAAAAGAATTCATTTCAGTGGTTTCGGCTATATTAGTAACAATACCGCGACTTAAACTTTGAGTTCTTGAGAGTCTCCTTCAAGCTCGACTGGGTCTCTATTTTCAACATTTTCGTTCGGGAAACATGATGGGCAACATCTATCGAATATCAAGACCTTCAACTTATGGAGTCCCCAAACGATCAGGATATGAACGACCACGACTACGACCACGGCCCCGATGGCGAGTCCAGCCGCGAGACCCGGATTAGCCCCGAAGTCGAGAATGGAATAGATGGACGGGTTACCCTCCTCGTCAGTGCCCCCGGCTGCGTAATATATCCCAGCAAAGACAACATATGCGACGGCGAACATGAACGGGTAGATGAAGTGCAGGAGGCGAATGACCATCGCCGAGAGGAAGATCTCGATCAGGGCGACGATTCCGTTGAGGGTATGGAAGTTGATGTCGTAGTACAGGTCGACCGTCCCGGGAACGTAGAGGGCGCCCCAGTACAGGAGGGAAAGGAGGATGGCGACGGAAGCGTACATGTTAAAGAGCAACCACTGGCCGCGGTGAAAGAAATACCAAGGGACGTCTGGAAAAAATAGATAATTAGATACATCATTTGACGATATCTTTAGACAACAAAGTTTTTCATAAATTGCCAGGCTATTCAAATCTAGATTCCTACAAATTAGCAACGGTATAAAATATTTTGTATTGAGCTGTCTCTATATCCCTCTATCACCCCACCCCCCCCCCCCCACTCCCCACTGTACTGAGGTGGATGGAAGTTAAACGAAAGGGTGGATCCTAAATTATTTTTAAAAAATTAAGGGTGAAATTCTGAAAAGTGGTTTTAAAAATGGGTGAAATTCCGAAAATTGGTTCAAATTCATATTAGTACAAGAAGACATTTTTAGGGGCAGAGTCCCACTACGTTCCAATGAGATACTTTTATGGCCTACTCGGATATCTTTGTAGAATTTCGCTTTCGTTACACACTCTCACTCGATCTGTAAGAACAAGAAATTTGGTCAGACCAATGAGTTAAACCTATTGGCAACACCCAACCCCGCCCTCCCCCCACTCCGTGCTCGGAGGGACCGCATGCGTGTTCCCAAAATGTCATGTAAAGGGGTACTTTTCACGCCCAAAGTCCGGCTCGTAGTACACAAAAATCCTGTCCGTATTGACTTTACACACCGGACTTAGGGGGGTGTTTTCAAAAGGAGGGCACATGCATATGCGTACCCTAAATAATACTGAGTGGGAGAGGGGGCGGGCACCAGGGCTCAAAGTACACGGGGGCGGTGGGCGATTCGCACCCGTGAGCTACATAATCGCCCCCGTCAGGTTGCTCACAGGGGCGATTGCAAAATTAAAAATCGCCCCCGTGGAATTATAAAATAAAGATTATCTTTTCTGTTATAACTTTAACATAATATTGAGTTTCAATTTTCAAACCTTAAACCAATGAAATAGAATTTAGATTAGCGTGCAAGATTTCCCGTTCTATGAGTAGGCATATTATTACCGATTCAGCTCGCAGTGCAGTGCCGCCGTCAGCAGTGGTTATAGGCCTACTGCGCCGTTAGTAACGGTACGTGTGCACGCTGCCGCGCCATTTCTGCTGGAGCTGGAGGCGATCGCACAAGGGCAGAAACCCCGGCCCCCCACTCAGTGTTATTTAGGGTACGCATATGCTTGTTCCCTCTTTTTGAAAGCACCCCCTATCTGAGGACTGCCAACATTTCCGAACCCCCCCCCCCCTTTCGCGGGCTTTTCGCGGGCTTTTCCTGCCTTGGAGACCCCCCTTATTCATGAAAAATGCTCAATGTACCCACCTAAATTCGGAATAATTTCTCAGGAGTCCAAAGAGATGAGAGAAAGAAAGAAAAAACACCCCTTTTTAAAGAAATCTCCGGGTGAAAAGTTAAAACACCCCTTTTTTTTTACAATTCTCGGGCCGGACTTTGTCGCACGAAAAGTACCCCTTTACCGGACATTTTGGTAACACGCATAACCCCATCCTCCCCCCGGCCCCCTTGGGCTGCCAAGTGAAAATGTGATGTGCATAGAAAAACGCCATTATGTCCAGAATGACCCACACAGTAAGATGTTAGTAGATGCCAGGAAAACAATACGGGGGTTCAAAATAGCAACAACAAAAAAAATCGCCTCGCCGCTATGCGGCTCGTGGACGATGCTTCGCATGTAAGTAGATGCCAGGAAAACATCACTTACGGCGGATCCAGCCGGCGAATGAGCGGGGGGGGGGGGGGCTGGATAAATGCACATATATTTGTTTAGGGGGTCCAGTTTTTGGGAACATTTTTGCGCCGACTCAGCCGGCCGGTGAATATTTAAGCGGGAGGGGGATGCTGGACAGGAGAACCACTAATCTATTTTATTTTTTTCAGGGGGGGGGGGGAGGTGAAGCGCCGTTTTAGCATGACTTTCTTTTTAACTCTTACTTTCACCTATCTCAGATAACCCTAAGTTTTTGGTTGCTGCTTTATATGTAGTTGATAATGCATGATTAAAATAAAGAGAGAGAGAGAGAGAGAGAGAGAGAGAGAACCACCATCATTTTGCAATGGTTCAGGGTTTGTGTAATTTTCATTTGAAACCATTTATTAGCGTCTCAACCCTAACAAAATAGTGAAACTATTTTTGAGGAAAAGCATTATTATAATGCTTTTCCTCAAAAATTAAAAAAAAAAATTAGTATTAGTATGAGCCAATATAAAGCTGAACTGAATAAAGAATAATAGCTTTATATTGGCTCATACTACTAATACGGGCAGGCGCGGATCCAGGATTTCTTAGGGGAGGAGGCCCAACTTTTTTTGTTTTTTTGCTCCCGAAAATTTGAAAATCGCGCCGGCCGAAAAGTCGCTCAGTGGGGGGTGGGGGGGGGGGGGGGGGGGGGGGGGGGGGGGGGGGGTACAGAGCACATTTTTTTTTTTTTGATCCTCAAAAAAATTTCAATTTGCACCCCCCCCCCTTGAGCGCCAGGGGGGGGGGCCCAACCCCCCCAAAAAGGTAAAAATCACGTGATTTTACATGATTTTTTTTCTCAAGGGGGGGGGGCGGGCCCCCGGGGGCCCCCCCCCCCCCCTGGATCTGCCACTGATATACACAGGCCTTGCGGAACGTTTATCAAAGTGGGGGGCTAAAGTATTTACGATCAGGTAAAGGGTAGCGAGCGTAAATTGATGTAGGGGGGGGGGCGGGGTTCAGGGTTTTAGGCATTTAATTACGGTCAGAGAAGCACAAATATTTTGATGCCGCATTTGTGTCACTGGCAGGTCAGGGGGGGGGGGCGTTTTTTATTTAATTTTTTTAAGGTAAAATTTACGTTACTATCCTATTTTTTTTACCGGTTTGGGAGGCTAGGGGGGCGGTAGAATCGGACCGTGGATCCGCGCCTGTCCAAAATAGCACACACACAAAATCGCCTCGCCGCTACGCGGCTCAGTAAAGAAAGAATGTAAAGGTTGCTCCGAATAATGAGGAGGAAATAATGTGCAGAACGGGAAAAAAATCGAGAGAATGTCATCACGGGATGAAAGTCAGTAACAGCTATGTAGCTTGTGAATTTTGTAAGAGGGAAAATGCTGATTAAAGTGATAATGATGAAATAGCAAATAATTGAAGAGTACCATAGGTACCAATTCAATGGATATTTGTATAAAAAAGAGCCCCCGTCAGTACTAAAAAAGCCCCCGTGAGAAGGCTCACGGGGGCTCTTTTTGGGGGGGAAGAGCCCCCGTGGAAAAAAATTAATTTGAGCCCTGGCGGGCACCCAACACGAAACGCGCTGTGACTTACCATCAGAAGTCCACCCTGCCGGTTTCATGAAGGCCGCATAGACGATGATGTTCCACAGGGCGCAGATTTGGTACACCAGCATTAGGATGTAGCCCCAGTTGGTGAGGTAGATGAAGAAGTACCCGCCGTACGGGCCTCCAGGACGCACCGACACGATGAAGACATAGAGGAAGTAGCCCAAGAGGTAGAGGGTGATCAGGATACGGTAGGCCAGGTATACTCCGTAGTGCATCGGGCACTGTCGGGAATAAAAGTTTGTAGAGTAGCAGCATGAGCCAAAATAAAATTCAGAAGTAGTATAAAAAGGATTAGTAGTAGCAGATGTAAAGTAGAAGAAGAAGAAGTAGTAGTAGTAGTAGTAGTAGTAGTAGTACAGTCAAACATGTCTATAGCGACCACCCAAGGGAAACAAAAAAGTGGTCTTTGTAGACAGGTTCCTGTAGTACATGTTTCAATGAGAAACCATTTTCAAGGGAAACGAAAAATGGGTTTTTTTTATAGACAGGTGGTCTTTGTAGACAGGTGGTCACTAAAGAAGGTTTGACTGTAGTAGTATTTATTTTTAAAGTGACTTGGTAACATTGTTGAAGGTTGATGAAAATATTGCGTAATTTTTGTATGACACGCTACTTTTTTATATTCCTTCTAGTGTACCAACTCTCTAACATGCAAACAAATCCTGACAAAATTCTTAAGCCACAAAGATATTTATGGCTTTCTTAGAAGGCGTCACTGTGCAACAGACTCGAGTAGTAAATTCTCCCAACCATTTTTGTATTTTTCCAACCGTTTTCCATGAAAATAAGACATACACTATGAACATGACTGACAAAGAAAGCGGACAAAATATACAGTTCCTCAGGTACACAAAGGAACATCCCTTCAGTGCTATTATGTAAAAATGTGTAGAACAGGTGTCACATGCATATTCACCTTTTAACATAATAGCAGTGAAGGGATGTTCCTTTGTCTACCTGAGGAACTGTATATTTTGTCCGCTTTCTTTGTCCGACATATTCATAGTGATAAGACAGGCTTTTAAAATCTTTCAACACTTACATGGCTTTAATAGTATATAGAGCAAATTTATTGCTTCATTAAGATTCATATTTACCTAAAATGTAATCAAATTGTAATAAAATAGTTGGGAGAATTAAGGAATAGATCAGATATGTTTTCCCAATTGTTATCATTAATAATGGTATGTTTTCACTCAAACTATCAGATTATCTTTAATTGTGCATCTGGCATTGAAGTCACTATCTTAGCACCATTTTCTCTCATCCGAACAATGTCACTAAGTCCCTTTAATTTTTTTTAATTTAAAAAAAATAAAAACAACAACCGCGGCCTCCAAAATGCACTCGAGTACAAGTGCATAAAAACTGGCTTATTGATGACGTAACAATATAAAACTTTCACGCGCGCACAAACTTTTAGCCTATCAAATCTCTGTAGTTCTCCCGAGGCGCAATTGATGACGAAACAATAGGAACACTTATTGCTGAGGCGAATGTTTACAAAAATGATCTCTCTCTTCTTATGGTTGTAATGTGCTTGTAAGCACATCTTTGTTGGTCGAGAGAAGTATGGTGGTATCTGTAGACAGAAAGGGAGAAATAGAGGGGGGAGGGGCAATCAAGGAAAGATAGAGGGACATTTTTACCATATTAAAAGTGTTTTTTTTTGCTTAATCGCTTCGCATCTTCGTGAAATTCGTATTAAGGGTGATTGATATTCAGCCTACAGGCCTCATGACCCCCCCACCCCTCATGACAACATGCCCATACGTCTATATGATTACAAGCTCATTTGTATTGATAAAATATATTGTTCTTTCGCGTTTCTCACTCACTTGTACAGTAACTGTTAATGTACGTAGATAAATTTGGGCAGGGGACAATAATTCCTAGAGAGTAGATACGCCCCTGTAATACTGACACGAATTCTAGTAGGGGCAGGGGTCAATATATTCTTATTCTGCTTGCCTTTCATATAACATCATTATCATGTACAGTGTTTTTTTGTTATCGCGTGTAATTGACTGCAATGGAAAGGATTTGAAATATTTCTGGAATGTCGTCATTTTAACCTTACTTTGCTTTGAATATCTTTCGCAAATATTTGAACTACTTGTGGGTAGGTCTAAATTCATGAAAGTTTATTGTACCAAAAATATCAATCCAACTTAGTCATAACACAGCAGTTCTCCAAGATACACACAATTGTAAACAGTGGTGGGGCGTGGTTACAGCCATTGAGAGAGCACTTATATCGAAGGGGGGGGGGGGGGTTACAAGACGGATTAAATGGTGAAATACAAATTATCAGTCCATGCATCGATGGGGGGGGGGGGGGTGTGAAGTGACGGGTTTTAAAATGATCTCTGTACGTTCCTCGGGTCCTCTAGTGGTAAGGAATTCCACTCTGTAAGTGTTTTTAATTTGGGAAGGAATTAATTAATATTTGAAGGTTTCTTTGATTGGACTAATTTCAATAAAAGACGTTATTGTGCGATCTTCCGGTTAAGAGAATGACGGTGAAGGAGATCTCGCACTTGGACGGAGAGGTACCCTTCATGTGGTTTGAAGAATGTAGGTAGTTAGGCTAGCTAGCGGCCCTTCTCTTTTCAGCAAGTGTAGTCAATCCAAGATGTCTCAACATGGAACTATAACGCTACTTAACATGTCGTAGATATTCTTTGCCATATAGCGCAAAAATAATTGTGTGGAACCAGCAACATTGACAACTTGACCATTCTGACGTCACACTTCGGTATATACTCATTATGCTACGGCTGAAAATAAGTGGGATTCTTTACTGACCTGAGTTGTGACGTAGACGGATGGGGACACTCCTCCTAGCCCAAAATCGGAGCATTTCGGGCGCGAGCAAGAACAAGATCTACTACGAGTTGACATTTTTTTATCAAAAAGTTTTGTTTTACGAGTGAAAATTAGGTCGTAAATTATCCGGTGTTTGTTAGAGTTAACATGGGTAGCAAGTTGTCAGAACTGGCGTTTGCTGTCGATCAACTAGGCTAAAATATAGTCCTCGGTTATCGCTTAGGGATATTAGGGATACTAATTACTCCGGTATGATATGGTACACGGTGGTTTCGACGAGTCGCCCTTTAATATCACTTTCACCGGTGTGCAGAATTCGATGATAATTTCGATCAAATAGATTGGAACTCGTTGTGAAAGTCCACCAAAGTACAGTCAGACTGATACTACACAAACTTCTGCCCACAACAGCAGCAACGAAACGAAGGCATTGCACTAATGCTAATAACGTAGGAGATTGAGTTACACAGTATGAATACAAGGCCAGTGTTTACACGCAAGTAAATATAATAATGTACGACGTTCCGAACTGACAACGTTTTTGTGACTCAACAAAGCGTATTTTTCTATTGTGTGTATATTGCGGACAGCACGTAAAAGTGTGAGGTCGATTTTTGAACTCACTGAGGGTCACGCTACAAAGCTATAATAGTATTGATCACAAATGCCCTGTTTGTAATATATGCTAGTAGGCTAGCTATATATGGGTCATTTATGACGTATACGACATTGGCATGGTTTTAAATCTGAACCATCACTTCCTGAACGATGATACTCATATGGCTAAAAGGATTTGTTATTGTTTGCAAAGTCAGAATTGAAAGGTATTTTCGACATACTCAATATCATACAACATTATGATATTGCAAAAAAATAAAGTTTAAGTGGACGTTTGGGCAAGATATATTGATATAAAGAGAGAGAGAGAGAGAGAGAGAGAGAGAGAGATTTTTAATATTACCAGGGTTGAACTAAATAGGAGTGCGAGAGCCATTCTATTTGATATTACCTCTTCGTTTAAAGGTAAAGACCATTTCTGGTCATGCGATTGCATTGTGAAAGAAACGTTGTGGAATCGATCAGAAAAGGTTGATCATCTAGCCTATAAAATATTGGTGTGTACTGCCAAGTTCTGGAATCATCAACATGATAAGAAATTTGGCCCAGTATTGGTAAATTTACAAGCACTGTACACAGAAAGATGTATATGGGACTACGCGATATCTATCAGGTCCACATAGATATAATAATTTACCAAATATATCAATTAGTAGGCAGTTTCTCGGCAAAATTTATATCATCACGTATTAGTTAAAACATATTCTTTCACATGATTGGTAATAAGAGCTTCCATTTCATTTTTTGAAAGGGGGGGGGGGGCGTTTCCAAACTGGTCTTTACCTTTAAGTTGAAAATAATGATATTAGAATTATCAATCGACATGTAGAAACAAATTTTGTATACACATTTCTTTATTCCATTTTGTTTTAACCCCCCCCCCTCTAAATTACGTCTTTCTCTTCTGCTACTGTTTTTCATCTACAATTCTTTTTTATCAGGAACCTTTATAATATAAGCACTGCTTTTTAATGGGTTCCTCACATTCTACTTAACCTATCATATGAATCGAGTGTAATTGAGACGTGCTCATACTTTATGTATATAAATGTGTGTATAATTTCGATTTTATATGTTTGTTTATATGTCTTGTATTAAAAATGTGATACAAATACTTAAAACTTGAAACAAAGACCATGAATCCATCTATTTCGAGTACGCCTAGATATTTGTGATCTCCTTCCTTCTCAATAGGCCATTTTCGTAATGTAACCAAATTTAATGCATAAATAGTCTTTGTGAATTGCCTCAATACAAATTATTTCATTCACCTGATAAGAATAATAGTATTTCAATAGACAGAATCCAAACTGCATACATTAGTACTGTTGTTGTCAGGTAGGACATACATAATGGCAAGACCTACCTAGCAACACTTGATAAATGCAGTTTGCATTCTGACTATTGAAATACTAATTATTCTTATCAGGTGAATGAAATAATTTGTATTGAGGCACTTCACAAAGACGTTTGCATTAAATTTGGTTACATTACGAAAATGGCCTATTGCTCTTGATCTCTGAAGAGTGCTGCCATTTGTTGTTTTACCTGTCCGTATAGCTAGAGTGATCACATTTATCCCAGCCCAAACCGATGCCAATGTCTTCACTGAAGATCCGAACATTTCAATGACAGATTCTACGTCATCTTCCGACTTGCCGTACAGCTTTAAATCATCCATATTTAACAGATGATTTATTGTTGCCTTGTTTTTTAAATTCATATCCAAGTATGGATCTTCTATTAAAGCACATGTGTTAATGGTGTCATTGTCATCACTGACATCAGTTGAAATAGACTATCGGCTTGAAATATACTGCTCTCTCCGAGCCCTTCATCTTTGTTCTCCAACTTCGTTCTCCATTTTCCATGGACTCGATGATCCAGGAGTGAGGATATGCTTCCTTGCATTCGAGCCAAGCCATTGCCAAGGTTGTTTTCATTTTCTCATTGTGTTTCATCACTCCTTTGTCGATGCATAATTTTGTCCCCTTACTACTTTATCCACATCCCTTTTGTTCCTATGGTGTTATGTCTTAAGTCTTCTACATCTTCTTCTTCTTCTTCTTCTTCTTCTTTGTCACTATCTCTATTTTTTCTCTCTCTCTCCCTCTCTCCCTCTTTCCCTCGCTTCATCATCCCCATCTCTCTCTCTCTCTCTCTCTCTCTCTCTCTCTTCCTCTCCCTCCTCCCCCATCTCCCTTCCTTCCTTCCCCGCCTCCCCTCCCCTGACCCAACACCGTTTAGCATCGGTGATCTCGAATACATTATCATTTTAAATTGCATTTCTATGATTTATAATGTTACGCGTGGGCAGTAACCGGTGTCTGCTCCTAAGAGACTCCTGGTTTTGCCCGAGAAAGTTTACAATCCCAAGTGACATTGGATGAAAGGAAGGATTTGCATCTTTAGCAGGGCGGATGCTTTACTTGTAAACTTGGTTATGATAAATCATTTGAATAAAAGAAAGAGCTTTTGTTAGTAGCTTCATTTTATTTTTCTTACTTATTAACTGCCCTCCTCTTTGTAGAAAAAAAAAGGATAAATATTTTCTATGCACTTTAACCCTCCTTTTGTTGATCAATAATTATTAGTTCTTTATAATGATTCTGTACCTCTGTCTCAGTTGGTTATTTTCTGTGAACCCCCCCCCCCCCCCCACACACACACTCTCTCTCTCTCTCTCTCTCTCTCTCTCTCGCTCTCTCTCAGACACATGCGCTCTCTTCTGATATTCGGCTACACCAAATACAATCACCGACAAACAGCCTTTCCAACCTTTAGCAGTTCATCTCTCTCTCTCTCTCTCTCTATCTCTATCTCTCTCTCTCTCTCTCTCCCTTTTTTCCCCTCCTCCTTCTCCTCCTCCTACTCCTCCTCCTCCTCCTCCTCCTCCTCCTAATTTGTTCTTCATCTTCGCACTTCTCATCTGTCTGTATCTGAGTATTGTCCCCCTCAATCGCTAATAGTTCTCATCGATTTACCCACCGTTTATTTGTTATTTATTAATATTTTCTATGCACTTTAACCCTCCTTTTTGTTTATCAATTCTTTCTATAAAATGGTTCTGTACCTCTGTCTCAATTGTTGTTTTCTGTGACCCCTCCTACCCCCCCCCCCCCCCCCGCTTTCTCTCTCTCCCTCTCTCTCTCTCTCTCTCTCTCCCTCTCTCTTTCCCCCTCACTCTTTCTCCCTCCCCTCCCCCTCTCTCCATTTGTCTCTCTTCCCCCTCTCTGTCTTCTCCTGACCACCCTTAACAAATATTTAATCGAAGTTCCAGGCTTCCCATCCTGTCTAAACCACACACCCACACGCACTCACACACAACGCACACCCACACACGCACACACACACACACACACACACACGCACGCAACGCACGCACGCGCACACTTCAACTTCTGTACAGTGATTTCCGCGCGAAACCCTCAAGAAACCCTCCTCCTCCTCCTCTTGCTCTCGCTCTCTCTCCCTACCACCACCATCATCACCATCATCAATAAAAGATGCATTAAGTATCGGAGGGAGATGAGAAGCTTGCGTGGGCAGAGGTGCGCATACAACTTATTACTGGACACCATAAGCTTAGCGTGGGACGATCCATTTGCCATCTTCCCAACAACACAGCCGCCATTTATCACCACGACTGTGTTTGTCTGCATCAGGCTTGGATGTAAAAAGCAGACAACATGTAGAGCAGGCATATTCCGCTTTGCAACAGGTCGTCGCTAGCATGGTACGTCAGTAATTGTTTTGTTCTGTTTTGTCAACATGGTCAAGCATTCAATATTGATCGCGCATTCATTCGTGTTGTTTAACCTTTTATGAACATCATCCTGTGTTGCATTTACTTTTTGAGTTCCATTTCATATCATGCCGGATGAAGGTATATAGTTTATGTTGTTTATAGTATAGGTGTGGTCTCTTAATTGAAATTATCATTAGTGTATTCATATCACAAAACCTTCCCTTCTTTATTCATCTAGGTGAGTCTATTTTACAGGATTTTATTGTGGGATGGATATTTCAGATGGGCTACAGATGTATATCATCGATGACATAATTGTACATTTCCTACCAATAGAAAATTATATATAACTGCCAGAGCAACTTATGTTTGTATTCTTTACGTTACTGATATTTATAGTGACATAATCTGCAATGGCGGGTTCTTGATTGTCAAACAAATACAGAAAACAACTATATCATTGTGAACGTTACTATAATCCACTTCCATGATTATACATCTATTCAACATACAGTGGCAGGGAGCGGGTCTAGAGATAGATGGGGCGTCAGTGTCATGCTGGGGGATAGCACCATTCTTCCTTTGAAAATGAATTGCAAATGATTAATTATGAGTAAGGTGTTGGAGAGGGTGGTAACGTCGCATTTCCATGTTCCATTTCTCTCTCTCTCTCTCCGTGTTTCTCTATACCCTGCTATTTCATATTTCATTCGGGGATGCCCCTCTGTTCCACTTGTTATACAAACCGTCTGTTTTTCATTAGTCTAAATTAGGTTTGCTAATTTATTTTTAAGTAGTCCTAATCATGGTGATAGCGGCATACAGAGGTGTTATAGGAGGAACCGGTCTTAAAACAACCATTCACTCGAATTAGTAGTGAGCTATTCCTTTGTATGTGTGTGTGTTTATATAATACATATGTATTTATATACATGCATATTACTGCAAGACTTAGCTTCATTAGTTGACCTAAGTACTGTATGTGGCATGTTTACTTATATAAGCCAGCTGATTTTTGTATGACATTTGATAAGGAGCTCCGAAAAAACGGGTCAAAATTGTTTATAATATATCTACAAACAAGATAACAGTATCTATGGATGTTTTTGTGCAAATTAGATTTTTTTTTAAAATTAAAACTACATCGTAAATGGATGCATTTTTTAAATGGAGCAGGTATCCCATTTCCCCCGCATCCGGCCATTTAAATTCATTTTGCCAACAAATTTGTAACGCAAATAATCCCACATAAGATTTATCATGGGATATACCAAGAGCTTCAATATTATTTAGCAGTTTCCAGTGCCAGATAAATGTATGTCGGGGTTAAAAGGGCTGTCATGGAGCTATAATCAAGACCGGAATTGGGTAATTTTGTAAAGCCACTGTGTTGCATAAAAAAATCCTTTCGCCTGTGGGCGCCTATTTTTGTGAAAAACTGCACTTGTGGGAAACGAGCGACCGTACAGAGAGGCAACCAAAGTGTTAATTGCAGAAGATGAAATGATAGTTTTAATTTTGGTTTCATCCCAGGTCAGTGACAACTCATTGAATCCTTTACATGGAAAAATGCATTGATTAGGAGAGGAAAGGAGGCGTGCTAAAGAAACAAGATGGCGGAGTCAACCCTTAAAAAACGATCAACGATGATGCCTTCTCAGTGAGATCGATTACCACCTATTATCACGCGTAGGCGGAAGGTTGTTGTCGGTAAGTGTTCTACTGCTTTCTAGACCAAGAGTATTTGGGTTTCATCAGAGGAGATTTCTTACGTAATTATGATGTCCAGTTTGTTAAAGGAGGAGTTGTGTGTAGACGATCGTGGGAGATTTGGGTGAAGCAGGAACTAGAAATGTACTAAAGCAAGATAGACAATTTTGAATGACGGATAGCGAGGCAATCATAATTTATTGCCGAGAGTCCAACGAAACTTGCCCGACCAAATTATCATTAGTAAAGAGAACAAACTAGGTTATCACCTCCAACCTCCCACATCCTCCGTTCTCTCTAAATTCTCAATATTCTTTCCGCACTGCCCCCCCCCCTTTTTTAAAAAAAACAACAATCTTTCTCCGTCTACTCCTGTCTCGTCCATACCTTAGTTGAAATAGTACAGGAGGAAATCTTTCTTTCTGAGTTAAAATAATATATAGGACCCTTTTTCATCCCGCGGATCAAAATGATGCTAAAGTAATAGATACAGTCAAACCTGCTTTAGTGACCACCTGTCTATAAATACCACTTTTCTTCGTTTCCCTTGAAAAGGTTTTATCATTGAAACAATTCGTCGCTGTTTTCACGAAGTGACGGTAGTGAAAAAAAATTGCATTCACTTTGCGTGACGATTTTCCTCACTACCGTCACTTCGTGAAAACAAGGACGAATTGTACTAAAGGAACCTGTCTACAAAGACCACCTGTCTACAAAGGCCACTTTTTGTGTTTCTCTTTGGCGGTCCGCTAAAGACAGGTTTAACTGTACCACCATAATGATAATAAGCCAGCTAGTACATATACTATCTGCGCATGAATAGATACATTTTATTTGTAAAACTGTAAAACCCATCGAGACGAATACTGGATACATGTTAATGAAAGTTATGTCAGCATCATTCGTTTAAGCACCGGCGGTAAATTCTCTGATACTCAAATGAAAGCATTCTACTCCAGAGTGCAAACAAAAATTATCCATGAAGCGCCGTCCTCCATCACTTTGACGATGACTCTTCTAAAATTTCAAAGTGAGATTTCTCCATGTTTAAAAGATCTGTTGATATTTGGGGAGTCATTTGAACAGTTCATATCTTAGAGCTGGTACGATATCAAAGTTGCCGCCAATATACAGTAATTTTGTTCTCCAATACCTTACGGTCTGATTATCTATACAAGTAATTCCAAATTTTACATAGGACTTTTATGCATTTTTTTTTTATTTTACCACAATAATTGGTGAAAAATGCTTATAAAGTATTGATATATTTGCGTGAAATATAACAAGTTTGCTTCAAGACGATTACAAAAATATTTCCTGTTTATACCCGTTTTTTAAAAATGAATTTAATGTAGTTTTATATTCATTAAGATCAATGTAGAAATTGTATTTCATTACCGGGGATGTTAAGTACGTTTTAAAAATGAAAACAAAATAGAATCTGCATTTTCGGTATTATTCTCTTAAGATTCCATGCCATGCAAAACAAAAAAGCAATGCTATTCCATCACCGTTTCCTTACCCATCATCCACAACTAAACTAAATTTCCCGCTCTACTCCTCAAAATCGTTTTTATCCTCTTTCCACCATTTTCCTTGTATAACCTATATTATTCAGTATTTCCCCCTTTTTCTCCCGAATGATATCATCGTGTCTTCCCCTTTGTTGTCTTACGATGTCTTCCGTCTAAATACAATCATACTCCGCGGGCAGGGATTGGGATTGGTAAGGAAAGGCAATTCACCCCGAATTAGCAAGATATCTCCGAGGAAAAGAAGGATTTGGGTGAGAGTTCTGAACAAAATCGGATTACAAAAACTACATGTAACGACTTGTTAACCAAAACATGGGATCAAGATATAATATAAGGGGAATTTCAAACTGGCGACTTTGTAAATTGACATCGTGATGCAACTCACCATTTGCATCTACACACGAAAATAGCCAAATCCAGTTTATTTGCTACATTTCTTTTAAAGTTAGTCACGATACCTTTCACTAGAGACATATGACAAGATACTATCTATGATAATCATGTTCAATATGGCCCGGATGAGAAATAGAAGAAATTTCCCCCGGTTAATATCTCAGGTATAGACAGTTACCCTATTGTTAATTTTAAATTTACCAGTATTTACTGATCTAATGATCTCAGCTTTCAAACATTCATTATTTTTTGTAAAATAAATCTGCTAATTTCTTTCAGACTATCGGTATCAAAGATTCTTTTGATTTCACGCACTTCAGAATGTTACAAATTTCGCACACGTTATCTCGTTGCATTGCCTAGTCATCTATAGCGAGAACTGTATCATTAAAGTATGAGAAAATCGTAAAATTCTGTTCAACACTGTACATCGCCTGTAAAGACTAAATGATTATAATTAAAAAAAGAATTACACAAATATGACACAGCCTACAATTGTTTAAAAAAAATGTAATTATTGGTCTTTGTTATGACACAGCTTACATGTATTTGGCCTTTCAGGTACTTTTTACTTTACAAGGTAGATTTATTCATAAATTTTGCTAATGACATTTGTTTGAATCCATCCAAACCAGCAGAATTGTTTATTTCTGTCCAATGCACACATCTTTCTCAAATTCGGTATAAAATCTTATGTTATGCTATTCAATCTTAATATAAATCAGTTCAAAGTAAGACATTTGAATTTCAAGTGAATTGCAGACTGATTCAGATGAATACTACATTTGTATACATTTTATCTAATTTTATGGAAATAATAAGTTTTAGAACATCGCGATGCTTTCCTTAAATCAAATCAAATGAAATAAAATCCCATATTGTGTATATCAAATATCCTATTGTGTATGCTTGCTGAAATCAACTACTGAATTTACGAATACATTATAAGCATATGAAAGGAAGTGATAAAATATACTTATTTGACGATGAAATGCCTTAGAAGTTTGTTTTGTTCTCTGTAGTTTTATAAATACTCTTACCTTTATTGTTTGTCATATATATTCCAGCATCTTTGAGTTAAGCCCTACATTTAGTCATTGAATTTCAAAATAAAGTAAACGAAATAAATTGAATGAACGACACATCGTTTATCATATTGTCTCTTGCTTTGTTTTGATTTTTTTATTTCCACCATATTGTTCTTTGGGAGAATCGTGCAGTTTTCATCCAATTATCATCCGTTTTTAACAACAGTTGGCATGTTAATGCCAGCAAATAAAATGTACATTGTCGCTTTGAATTGGTGAGGTTATCTTAAATAAGTAGCCTTAATTATTTTTCTTAAACATTCTTCACTCAATGAATGATACGATGTTGCACATCTCATCATAACATGACCTTTTACTACGCACACACATAAACTTCACCACAGTGTACGAATCTTTCTTATTTTATTTGTTTTATTTTATTTTATTTCATTTTCCACTCAAATATCCACAAATTAAAATGACATGAAATGACCATACAGTATTACAATATATAATAGAACAAATTAATTATGCCAGTAACGAAATACTGATAAGTATGTACGTAATAAAATAAGTTTACAGAATACATTTAAGTTTAAGAATAAGACAAAATATTTGTATCATATGTTTTTATTATCGGTTCAGTGTTCTTCTTAAATTGTTTATTTCTGTAATCCTTGTATTTTTCTAAGAGATGTGAAATGAACGAATTTGAATTTATTGAATTTTAGAATTGTAACTTGTTGCACTAAATACTTGCTGGCCTTCTTGATACATTTAAAATTTCGACTAAGTGGGGTCAGGAATTTACTAATAAGAAAATGTTTGTCGCACTGTACCCATTTCTAAAGGTAAAGCAGAGAAAATCTGAAGGGAAGGCGCCAAGTAGTTAACGCATAAGATGCTTCAAGTATTTCCTGAAATATGGTTCAAGTGTATTAAACTCGTTCATGAGCGGATCGAAAGTGTGTCTTTCTTAATTGCTTCATCACTTCACCACTTTGCTAAGAAGGCTTTCCCAGAACCCATTGAAATAAATTTTATTTTCAAACTTATTCTCTCCTCTCTGCGTCATCAGGGTTGTAAAGACATGTAGTTGGATCCAATCACGATATCACCTCGAACAAGTTATGATACATATTTAACCTTCTTGTAAAAGACCATGTCCGAACTGAAAAAGGAAATGGATGAATTATATATCAACGGAAAGCTTATAATCCATAGATTACATTAATATCAATTATATGATCGGGAGCGCCAGGAGGGTCAAATCTGACTGACATGAGCGCTATACAAGAACCCACTATTATTATTATTATTATTTATATGTCATTTTAGTGTCTGTCAGAGGAGTATCAGCTCTCTGAAAACTCAAAATCTATAGCTTTAAAGATCGGAAGTTGTCGACCTAAAAACTTAATATCGACTTGATGACATAACCTTGGAGTACACATATTCACAATGACTTTGTATTAATTAAGCACGGCTCATCGCCTCAGCTATATAGGTAAACTGATGGGGTCCACATATTATGTCGTCAGTGTAACTTTGGCAAATTTGACCCCTGTTGACCCGTAATTTGGAGAGGGCGGGAAATGAGGTTTTAATTTGCTTATGTGCAATTATTAAAGGGTAAATACCTTTATTCCTCTATATTTGTATTCTAAACTCATTCAGTTTTCCATTTATATGAAGTTGTATTTTCATCGAATAGGGTCTTTAACATTATAATTTCATACATCACGTGTTGCTAGGTAGGACAATCCATAATTTTTGTCCTACATATCCACACTTATAACAGGTGAATGGAATAATTTGTAACATGGCACTGAGCAAAGATTTATGCATTTAATTTGATTACATTACGAAAATGGTCTATTGCCGAAAGGTAAACTCGGGCATTGATATCGGGCATTGAATGGGGAGTCAACTTCGAAAGATGTTTATTCGAATTAACAGGGCTACTGTTTATGAAGGCACCTACTCGTTTTTCTTTAATTCCCGAAAATAAAATGATTTTTAAATCCATCCGTTCTATTGTCAA